TACTTCGGCGCAGTACCACCTGCAGGAGTAGCTTGACGCCAATTCCGCGACCATCCTATGCGCCTGCGGCAACGGCGCCGCCATGTGCCATGCAGTAGGATGGCGGTGCGATTGCTGCGTAATGAAAATCATCTTTGACACGAGCGCCAATCTCGCAGCATATGCTGGCTTCGAACGTCACGCTCGTCCACGCCATGTCCAGTTGCGGACCTGGTGCGTCGACGGGCATCGCAAGGATGGGACATGCTCCAGCGATCCGTCCAGCGTGCGCCCGTCGCTACCGCATCGTCGCCGGCCCCCCCGAGCGATGGCGCCGCCTTCCGCTGCGCCGCGAACCGCCACGTACCATGCGCCCGTACGCTCCTCCATGTGCGGACGCCAGCGGCCGACTCTGCCAGCCTGCTGGCGCCCATCCCACGCCCGCTCTGCCCGACTCGATTCCGCATTACACCTGCGAATTCAAGCACAAAAAGAAAACGCGATTTTAATACGTGTACACTGTATCGGAGTGCAGTTGAGTCCGACCGGGGGTCTCTTCTTTTTTGTAGGACCACCCACCTTGAAGCTGCACGCCGCCCTCTCGCTCTACTTACAAACGCAAAGCAAGAGGGGGTATGGCAAGCCGTTTTGCCGAAAGATCCTAGCGCTCGGGACCAACTCCGTGCACGCGGGCAAGGACAGCGCCGGCACATTGTACACATCGTCGACGCCCCGACGCAGTCCACAGTGCTGCGAAGGAGGGGGCCCGACCTTGGGGCTTCTCGTAGGGGGCCTACGTAATAGAATTCGGATGCAGATTAAAAAGCCAGTTTTCGACCTTTTTTTCACTGCAACCGCCGAGAGATCAGGTTTTCTGGCGCAATTTTGACTTCTCTGGAATAAAAATACGCTGCTTTCCATACAAACACCAAATGAATTGTAAAAAAAGCCGCGCGCTGTAACGCCACGCCGCGCTGGACGTAGAGTCCACTCCTTGCCGGCCTTTTTATTCAAGGCGCGATTCGTACACTTGCGAATTGTATGCAATTAAATAAATGGAAGCCGCCAGTCGACGCGCGGGTCTTTATTCTTCGTTTTTCTGTGTGTGCGTCGGAGCCGCTATTACCTTTTTCCGCCGCCCGCTGAACATGTCGTCGTCGTCGTCGTCGTCCTCGAAGCCCAGCGACCGCCGGTGGAGCTTCGTCCGCGCGTCCGAGTTCTTTAGCGGCGACGGCAAGCCCGACACGTACGCTACCGATCGGTGTAAAGCGCGTTGAAATCTGATGCGAACTGCGTGGCTAGGCTCGATATCCGTGGCATGACCGCGGCTGCGAAAGGCGTCTCGTCCAAGCGCCAGAAATTCCGCATGAGCGTCGTCAAGAACGGCGTCACGATCTATGGCTCCAAGCCGTGCCCGAACGCCGAGCACGACCTTGGCCATGGCCTCTTGGGCCAGCCGGCGCCCGCGACCGGCGCATCGACCCCGCTGAAAGACCGCGAACGTATTTTTATTGAAGACCCGCGCGCGCCGTGCCTCACGATCGACTATGGCAACGACACGTACAAGATGATGCCGTCGATCGAGCGCTTCTCGGCCCATACGGGCGTGTGCCAGATTCTGGGTACGAAGCTCATCCGCGGCGGGAAGCACCAAGTGCACGTTGGCGACATTCTGCGCTTCGGCTCGGTGGGCCTCCTTGTCACGGAGATTGACACGGGCCGCACGGGCACGTCGGACGCGTCGCTGTCGCCGTCGGACATTTCCCACCTCACGCAGCGCCTCGTCTGCCTGGACGAACACCAAGGCGACGTGGACAGCGGCGATGATACGGACGAGGCCAACGGCAACGAAGGGTCGCAGTGCGACGACCCGACGGCCACGCGCCTCTCGAACCGCAGCTCGTCGGTCGCGATCTGCTACGTGTGCTACGACGAGAGCGAAGATGACAACCCGCTCATTGCGCCTTGCAAGTGCTCGGGGGACACCAAGTACATCCACCTGAACTGCCTCAAGCGGTGGCACACGAACGGCGACAAGAACGAGATTTGCGCGGTCCTCGACGAGAGCGATGCGCGCACGTGCTCGATCTGCAAGGCCGCGTACCCGTCGCGCGTCAAGATCCCAGAGACAGGCACCTACGTCTCGTTGCTGCCGGACCGACTGGACGCACCAAGCATCATGCTGCAGGTCGTCACAAAGCACTCGTCGTCGACGCTCAACACGTCGACGCGGTACCAGCTCAGCTACAAGACGCTGCTCGGTCTTGAAGGCAGCCGCCCACTCATGATTGGCCGATCGTCGCAGTGCGACCTCGTGCTCAAGTACCGAACGGTCTCGACGATCCACGCCGAGCTGCACTACTCCAAGGGCGAGTGGTTTGTCAAGGACGCCGGCAGCTCGAACGGCACGCTGCGCTACATTTACCGCCCGCTCCCGCTCGCCAACAACCAGATGCTGCACGTCAAGTTTGGCCGCACGGTGCTCTCGATCAAGCCGACGAAGAAGCTGCGGCTGCCATCGCTCTTTGGCATTGGCAAGCACGAGTCGAGCCAGCTCATCCGCGAGGACGACCACGACGAGCGGTCGCACCACCGTCACATGGACGAGTCGTCGCGCGCCCGGTCGGTCCAGGGCCGCGCCTTGTCGGCCGACGCGGTTGACGGTGGAAGCCGCCGCCCCGGCGGCTCGATGAACGCGATGACGGAGGTGGCTCGCCGCTTGGACCACCTCGACATCAACAGTAGACAAAGTTAAGAAGCTCTTAAAGTATGGTGCGTGTTTTCTCAACGGCTTTGTTTCAAGATTGTATCAAGCAGCCATGAATCAATGGCACGGCTGAAAGAAGGCGCAGAGGCGTACTGGCGGGGCACAGCACACGACGACGGCGGCGTCACTTGCCACCGACGCGCCGTCGGCGCCACGAAGACAGAGATGGCGCAGTGTCGGCGGAATGAGCCACGCCGCACCGCTGCCGTTCGGCCCGCGCAGCGCCAAGCGTTGGAGGCGCGCACACCGGTGGAATTCGGGCACCGCTGCCGCCTCGGTCCACTCGAGCTCGAGCGTGACGAGACTCTGGATACGGGGCAGGACCTGTGCGAGGCAGTCGGCGGTATCTGCGTCCAGCTGATGCAGGCTCAATCGAAGGTGGCTCAGTCGATGCAGCGTCGGTAGCGTCCGCAGCGTGTCGAGAAGACCGGGCGTCGCCGTCGCGTCGACGTGCAGCGTCTCGAGGCGCGACTGCTGGAGCGCTGACGGGAGGAACGCGCCGACGATCGCAAAGCCTTTGGTCAAAGCGAGACGGCGCAGCGTTAATGGCAACGGTGTTTGCATAAAGTCGAAAGCGACGCCGTTACTGTCGTCGAGGTCAAGGACCCGCAGCGACCGCGACGCGTGCAGTGCGCGGGCGAGCGCCTCACAGGCCGCATCGCCGAGGTCGACGTCGCGCAGCCGCAGGGCCTCGGCGCGGCTTGTGCCCAACCACGCCAAGAGAAAGGTCACGGCGAAATGCGGAAGACCGTGCACGCCGGGACAAGCGATCGTGAGGTCGGCCAGTCGAGGCAGGCGTGCGATCGTGGCCAGCAGCGGCGACAAGACGACGCCTGTCTGCGACGTGATCCATGACAGCTCGAGAACCCGCAGGTGAGCAAACGAAGCCAGCACCCGCCGCGCGAGCGCAATGTCATGCAGCGTCGCGTCGGTGCGCAAGGCGAGCGAGAGCTCGACTATGCCGCCGTGGCTGCCCATGTGGGCGACCGTGGACAGCGTGGCCGAAGAGCGCAGCGCGACACGCGTGCTCGCATGGCGAAGGAAAGGAAAGCGCGGGACATGCGATGTGTCGATGCGCACGATGGGGCGCAAGGCCATGAGTTCGGCGGCGGCGACGGCGTGACCCGGGGACGTAAGGACGGCGGCGCGGAGCTGCGGCCAGAGATGGCACAGCGGCACAGCGTTCGAGAGCGTCCATAAGCTCTGGTACGGGAGGCTCAAGCTCTCGAACGGCAGCAGTGCGAGGAGTGCGTGGAGGCCAAACGGGCACGCGACGAAGCCAGCGACCTTCTCAACCAGGTCGGCGTTGCTGGCGATGGCTGCCATCGTGGCGTGGATAAACGCACCCAACGATTGGATGCATTACGAGCAACGAAATCGTAAAATGTTGCATTTTGCGAGAACCCGCGGCCTCAGTGGTGCCCTCGACAATGATGAGGTGCGTTGTGCAGTGCCTGACACATAAGACCTTGTTACCCACCCGCCCGGGTTTAAGGGATGTGTTTGAAGATGGCTCGTTCCTTGTGTGTGAGAGAGGGTGGGAGGGTGGGAGGGTCATGCTCACCAAGTACACAGACGCATCTTTCACTTCCTTCGATACACGCCGACTTTGCGATCTGCAGTCAACTCGTTCCGCGTCAAATTCCTCAGATGCTCGAAATGCATTCGCCCAAGGCTCGAAAATCATCCGTACCCGGCGTGGAACCTATGATGTATACATGACGCACCGCGATCGCGCGCCGCAATTGGCCGAGCAGCAACCCATGGGACGAATTGAAGTCAAAATGGCGTGCAAATAGACTTCTACCGAACTCGGCCGCCTTCGCAGCGCCAAGTGATTGGCATCCCACACGACGACTGGCATGGCCGAGGACCAACAGCGGCTGCTAGCTGCGACGGACGGCCACGACGTCCGCAGCCACTTTGCAGCGTTCGCCTCGCTGGCGCTGCAGGTCGCGCTCGCCAACATCACCCGCATCGCGCTGCTTACGATCGACAACGCGTTTCTTGGGCACCTCGGGACGTCGGCGCTGGCGGCTGCGTCGCTCTCGTCGACGTGGATTCAAGTCCCGCTCTTCTCAGTGTGGGCCATGTCGTCCGCGCTCGTGACCGTAAGCAAGCATCTTCATCATCGCGCTGAGATTGCACTTGGATACTAGCTCTGCGGCCAAGCGTACGGTGCGACCAACAAGGTGCTCATGGGCGTCTGGCTGCAAATGGCACTGCTGCTCGTCTCTGGCCTCGCGCTGCCCGTGATGGCCTGGTACCTCTCGATCGACGTCATCTTGGTGCAGGCCACGGACGACGCGGCCGTTCGTCGCCTTGGTGCCCGGTTCGCTCGCATCATGGCGCTCAGTGTCTGGCCGACACTGGTCTACGCGTGTCTACGCCAGTACCTCCAGGCGATGCACATTGTGGCGCCGACGACATTCAACGGTCTCGCGGCCATCGGCATCACGATTGGCGCCAACTACGTTCTTATTTACGGCGCCGGTGACTGGGGTGGCCTCGGCTTTGACGGATCCCCGCTCGCCACCGTCGTCGCATCGTGGTTCCAGCCGATCGCGCTCTTCCTCTATGCGTTCGTCTACAAGAAGTACCATCACGAGGCGTGGGGCGGCTGGAAGGTCTCGGAGCTCACGTGGAGCCGCTGGAAGACGTTTTTCCGGATGGCGTTGCCCCTTGGGCTCAACGACGCGCTCACGTACTTGGCCAACTCGTGCATGTCACTGGTCGTCGCGATGCTTGGCGTCGACGCGCTGGCCGCCAACGCCATCTTGCTCACGCTCTGGGTCATGCTCTGGGCACTCTCGTTCGGTGTCGGGTGTGCGACCCAAGTCCACGTGGCGACCGCGCTAGGGGCCAACCGCCCCGTCGCCGCCCGGGCGATGACTCGCATTGGTCTTGGTACCGTCGTCGCAACGACAGCGACGACGGCGTCGGTGCTGTACATATGTCGCTCTGCCATCCTCGGCGTGTTTACCAATGACGCCGACCTTGTCCGCCACTGCAGCGCCGTGCTGCCCCTGTACCTTCTCGCCTATGCGCTGGACGCCCTCGAGATTACGCTCACAGCGGTTCTCAACGGCATGGGCCAAATGCCGTTCGTATCGGGCGTCTCGTTTGTGGGCATGTGGGGTGTGCAGGTCCCCGCCGCCTACGTGCTCGCGATCCACTTCCATTACGGCCTCCACGGTGTCTGGCTCGGATACGCTGTTACCGCCAGCTTCAAGCTCACCGCTCTCAGCATCAAGCTCGTGTCGGTCGACTGGTCTGTCATGGCTCTTCAGGCCATCTCTGCCATGGAGTCGGAGACAACCGCCGCCTGGCACGTCGAAGTGGCCGTGCCATCGCCCGCGAACGCGGTCTTGGAGCCCATTGGCGAGCCCTGGCCACTTAAAGCGACCACGCTCTTGCCGCATCACGCCAAGGCGTAGCCCTCGATCGACAAGTTTAATAGACAAATGCACCACAAAGTTTGCAGTAGGAAGGAGGTTAGGATTAGGGTTGGTAAAGGTGCTGCTTTGGATAGTTCAGCCATCAGCTTTCATTGCAGTAGCCTAGGTGGGCATGCGTAGCTTGGCAGAAGACGCGCTGGCCGTGTGCGCGTGGCTACGAACATAGCTCCGACACCATGCCGACGTTGGGTACGCCGGTATCACCTTTAGCTTCACTGTCCTCGTCATCATCATGGGGATAATTGACCTGTTATTTCCTTGTCGTCATCAAGCTGTAGTCGATGGACTTTATCTCCTGACCTTTTGCGGAGAGAGCGTCGCCGCGTGAACACAGCACGTGATGACGTTGACGTAGCAAACAGTAACCGAAAGGGATTAGGGTTGCTACGTCCTCGTGCGTTACTCTAATACGTGCACTGCATCCATGTTGATTTGGCACAAGCGCGCTCTCCTGTCCCAACCAAAGTTTGCACGACCAAGGCGATGCAAGTAGCGCGCTGCAACGTTGTGGCAGTCGATTGATTGATTAAATACGCCATGTGATCGATGAAATGCAGACATGAGGAAGCTAAAGAAGAGTCACGTGACCGACGTCCTGCGCCTTGCTGTGGACTGGCGACGACGTCATGATGTAGATCGACTCGCTGTCGCGCGCCTCGAGGACCGCGGGGTCGTCGGCTTCCGTGCTCGAGAGCTTTGGGCCGTCCGCTTCGGCCCCCAACACGGCTTCTTGAACCATTTTCTGCCAGTCAATGCAGAGAAATCGCACGCCCATGATGGCCACCTTGACAGCTGCGGCGATCGTTGTTGCAGTCCAAACGCCCGGAAGCCCGAGGTCTTGGACAATGCCAAAGTAGTAGGCCAGTGGCAGCTGGACGCCCCAGAGACCGATGACCGTCACGAACGTCACAAAGCCCATTTGACCCATGCCTTCCAGCGCCGTGAGGAGTCCGATACCGAGTCCATTCAAGCTCGACGCTGCAATGTACAGTGGTAAAACGTCCGTGTACATCGCCAGCAGCACCGAGTCCTTTGTGAAGAGACCGACGACGCTTGCGCGGCCAACCCAGAGCACGATGCACACAAGGACGGCAGCGAGTGCGAGGACAGCAAAGCCCATCATAGCACGGGCACGGGCCGCCCGCGGTCGACCACCGCCGAGGTGCTCGGCGAGTCCGACCTCGGACGCTAGCCCGATGCCGTAGAAAACTGCACCCACCATCATCCACACGCTGCTCAAGATCGCTTGCGTGGCAATGACGTTCGCGCCCATCTTGGCAACGACAAACGAGAGCGCTGCGGCTGCGAGCAAGTCACAGCCGTCGTTGAGCCCAAGGGGCAACGCCATCCGGAAAAACGTCTTCCAGCGACTCCACGTGAGCTCCGAGAGCTTCCAGCCGCCCCACGCCTCGTGGTGGTGCTTCTTGTAGACAAACGCATAGATGAAGAGCGCAACTGGCTGGAACCACGCAGCGATGACGGTAGCGAGCGGGGATCCGTCAAAGCCAAGGCCCGCCGTGTAGATGAGGAGGTAGTTGGCACCGATGTCGATGCCGATGCAGACGATGCCGTTGATGGTCGTGGGCAGGACGACACCCATGGCTTGGAGGTACTGGCGCAAACAGACGTAGGCGAGGAGCGGCCAAATGCTGGGCGACAAGAGCTCGGCGAACCGCGCACCAAAGGCAACGACCGTCGCGTCGTCGGTCGTGTGGCGCAGAATGCTCTCGAGGAAGAAGTACCAGACGGTCGTCGGCAGCGATAAGATGGTGATGAGAATGAGAGCCATTTGCAGCCAGATGCCCATGAGGAGGTAGTTTTTCGCGCCGTACGCTTGGCCACAGAGCTAATCATCCATCGCATGAGATGGGCATGCCTCACAGTTGCATACCGCGATCTGAGCTGAGGCCATACCCCACACGGTGCAGAGCGGAAGCTCGATCCAGAGCGTTGCGAGGGAAGCGCCTGCGAGCTCGTTCGTGCCGAGGTGTCCGAGGAACGCGCTGTCGATGACCATGATGGCGAGCCGTGCCATGCTCGTAATGACGAGCTGAAGGGACAAGCCGAGGAACGGCAGCAGCTCGGAGCGGAGGTCAAAGACGTCGGGGATCTCGGGCGTTGCCATCGTCGTCCAACCGCAGAAAACGAAAATGAGCTTGGGAAGATCGATTCAGTGAGCCAACACGAGGCGACGTCACCGCTCTGAGGTGTTGAAGACAACTTGCGCACGATCGCTGTACGCGGGTTGTGCTTGCTCGATGCGGTATTGCTCTTTTGAGCTTTATTCCATACAAAGTTCCCTACGATTGATTCAAATGGCTTCGTTATATAAGCGCGTAGCCAGGCCCTTGCTGGAAGAGGACCAGCGCATTCGAACGCAGGCACCAAGTCGTACCTTGAAGTGGTTGATGCCAGAAGCTCGTCGCGGCGGAGAAACATGTCGGTGACCGAGCGCGTCGACATCGTCGCGCCCTGGCTTTCTCCAGCCGCTAAGCGGCCGTGGCGCTTGATCAGTATTGTGAAGGACGTGGTGGTATTCTGTATGACGCGCCGTACGTTAGTTTGTACTTTAGTATTTTAGTTAGTATTTAAGTAGTACTATAGTATGTAGTTAGTACTTTAGTATACTAGTTAGTACTTTAGTACATGAGTTAGTCGGACGTTGTTTTCGTACATGGTCGTGGTGTGTCGCTCGACAACGTCGGAATAGCCCCGTCTACGTTGCCTGTTTTATTGCACCCACAAGAGGTGCCAACGAGTGGTTCAGAACCAGGCTTTGCGCACCACAGACTTCGCGACCACCTTGCTTTGCATAGCGTTTAAGCGTGAGAGGCTACTCTATGTGTACGGAGTTTGTCTGTTGTCCCACGTGCTGCCTCGACTGTCTACGGCGACGGACTGGATCCCCGTGCAAAATACAACGACACCAAGCCGTGCACGGCGCCTGTCGAAGGAGACGAAGCATCGTCGTCCGTGGAAGTGGGTCCCTTTACATCCCACCACCCATTCCTCTACGGTTTGCAGTAGAGCCAACTGTAGACGAACGCACAAGTCCATCCAGCGCACCATCGACCTCCTGTCCCTTGTTCCGGCCTTGCTCGTCAAAGGCACTTTTCCAGTCGCTCGCGTCTATCATCCTTCGCTGCCATCTGCAAACAGCTGGCTTGCTCAAGATGACTGTGCTCTCGAGCAGCGGCAAAGATAATGAATCAAACGCGCCGCTCGCCCTCCGATGGGTTCTCCGATCAACGGTGTTGGGTGGCTGGGTGGATCGAATGCATCGCATCTGAGCCCTCCTGCATCCTGGTGTACATGACCGCTTGAAGGTACCGGGCAGGATTACACCCCCCGTCCCACTCTGCAGCTGGCTGCACGGACCAGACGCACTGTCGCATGATGGTGTCGCGACCACGGAACCTTCCAATCGTCACTTTTCCTTTGGCCATGTCGAGCGCATTCGAGTCCAAGCCGCTGCTGGCCAAGCCCACCGACACGTTCGTGCTGAAGCGGGAGCTCGGGCCCTACGTCTCGCTCGCGCTGCAGATGGCGCTCGCCAACGTCGCACGCATCGCGCTCATCTCGATCGACTCGGCCTTTCTCGGGCACCTCGGTACGGACGCGCTCGCCGGCTCGTCGCTCGCGACGATTTGGACCCAAGTGCCGCTCAACTGCGTCTGGGCCATGGCCTCGGCCCTCATTACGGTGCGTGCGTTGATCGGATGGGTCCGTTGCCTCATCGATGTACATGTATAGCTCTGCGGCCAAGCGTACGGCGCCAAGAACTTCAACCTCATGGGCATTTGGTTCAAATGGCGCTCTGCCTTGTGAGCGTGCTCATGGTGCCAGTCTTTGTGTGGTACTGGACGCTCGACGTCGTTCTCTCGCGCGCGACGGACGACGTCACGATCATTGCGCTCGGTCTCCGCTTTGCGCGGCTCTTGTCCTTCTCGATCTGGCCGAGCCTCGTGTACGTCTGCATGCGCCAGTACCTCCAGGCCATGAACCTCGTGGCACCAACGACGATCATTGGCACCATGTCGATTGTGATTGCCGTCGTGGCCAACTGGCTGCTCATCTACGGTGCGGGTGACTGGGACGGTCTTGGCTTTGACGGCTCGGCGCTCGCCACCGTCGTCGCCTCGTGGTTCCAACCGATCGCGCTGTACCTCTATGCGTTCGCCTACCGCGGCTACCACAAGCAGGCGTGGGGCGGCTGGCAGCTGTCGGCCTTCACGAAGGACCGGTGGATGACATTTCTGCGCATGGCACTACCCCTCGGTCTCAACGACGGCTTTACGACGCTTGCCAACTCGTGCATGTCGCTCATCGCTGCGCAGCTCGGTGCTGAGATCCTCGCGTCGAATGCGATCTTGCTCACGCTCTGGACGCTGGTCTGGGCGCTCTTCTGGGGCATTGCGTGCTCGACCCAAGTCAAGGTCGCCAACCAACTCGGCGCCGGTCACCCGAAAGCAGCCCGTGCGTCGAGCCAGCTCGGTTTCTGCGCCATCATTGTCACGGCCGTGCTCGTGGCTGCGGTGACGTACGTGGCCCACACGCCGATTCTGAGCATCTACACGAGCGACGCCGTCTTGATCGAGCACTGCGTCTCGGTGCTGCCGCTTTTTGTGCTGGGCTTTGGCCTCGACGCGATCGAGATTACGATCACGGCGGTTCTCGAAGGCATGGGGCAGATGCCGTTTGTGTCGATGGTGTCGTTCGTCGCCATGTGGCTTGTCCAGCTCCCGATGAGCTACGTGCTCGCGATCCATTTTGGCTTTGGCTTTGCGGGGCTCTGGTATGGCATTTGCCTCACGGCCGGCTTCAAGATGGTCGTGCTCGCCATCAAGTACGTCACGATCGATTGGGACCTCATGGCGCTCCACGCGATGGAGACGGTCGAAGCCACGGACGACTGGACCATGTCGGCGACGTGCGCGATTGCGTCGCCCGCCAACGCGCTCTTGACGTCGCAGTCGCCCGGCTTTCACCGCAACACGCCGACGAACGCCAAGTCCGAGGCGTAGATATAGATCTTCTCTCCGTGCCGTACAACTCCTAGTTGTACATAGTAATACATTAGTGTGTGTCCATCCTGCCTCTCGTGCATTCGCAGCATTGCACTCATGCGCACACGCATTTTGAGAAGCTCGTCAATACCGCCTGGGTGTATCCAGCGTCGACCCGTGGGGTCGACCATTACTGTGAACCACGGATCCTAATTACCCAAACTGGCTGTGGACCAATCGCGACCAGCGTAGGATCGGAGGGGTAGTCAACACCACCGCCGGATGGGCCGATCCCTCGCTGCCGACTGCAACCAGATTGTATATGGCTCTCGTGTCTAGCAACGCGCAAGAGCAGTCGCACCCCATCGAGCAGGCATGTATTAGCTGGTACTTCAGCTAATACATGCCTGCTCGATGGGGCGCGTCGCCGCCATCCACCGCGTCCTCGGCCTTTCTTCCAGCGCGCCTTCGAATTCGAACACGGAATACCGTTCTCGGATTGGTCGCCTGACGATGAACGCGCCAATCAAACGTCGCGACGGTCCCACTTTGCACAAACAATCCAAGCGTGTCCCAGCGGTGGCGACCACAGATTGCCGGCGCTCAGAGTACTACTCGACGAGGATGATGGAGCACACGCCGCTGGTGTCCAAGAAGACGGACGTCTTCGACCTCGAGCACGAGTTTTGGCCGTACCTCTCGCTTGCCTTCCAGATGGCGCTCGCCAACATTGCGCGCATCGCGCTCACGTCGATCGACTCGGCCTTTCTCGGGCACCTCGGAACGGACGCGCTCGCAGGCTCGTCGCTCGCGACGATCTGGACCCAAGTGCCGCTCTTTGCCGTCTGGGCCATGGCCTCGGCCCTCGTGACGGTAGGCGTGTCTATCCTGCGTGTATCCTCCTAAGTTAATCGTGTCGGTTAGCTCTGCGGCCAAGCGTTTGGCGCCAAGAACTATTCGCTCATGGGCGTTTGGTTTCAAATGTCCCTGATCCTCGTGACGCTTCTGTCCGTGCCCGTCTTTGTGTGGTACTGGGTCCTCGACGTCGTCCTCTTGCGCGCGACGGACGACCTCAGCATCGTCGGCCTCGGCGTTCGCTTTGCGCGACTTCTCTCGTTCTCGATCTGGCCCACGCTGGCCTATGCGTGCATGCGCCAGTACCTCCAGGCCATGAACATTGTCGCCCCGACAACGGTCATTGGCACGGTCGCCATTTTCCTCGCGGTCGGTGCCAACACCTTTTTCATCTACGGCGCCGGCACCTGGGGTGGCCTCGGCTTTGACGGGTCGGCGGTCGCGACGGTGGCTGCGTCCTGGTTCCAGCCCATTGCGCTCTTCCTCTATGCGTTTAGCTACCGCGGCTACCACAAGCAGGCGTGGGATGGCTGGCACTGGTCGGCGTTCACGTCCGATCGGTGGCGCACGTTCCTTCGCATGGCGATTCCACTCGGCATCAACGACGGCTTGACGACGCTCGCCAACTCGTGCATGTCGCTCATCGCGGCGCAGCTCGGCGCCGAAGTCCTCGCGTCGAATGCGATCTTGCTCACGCTCTGGGGCATGGTCTGGGCGCTCTTCTGGGGCATTGGCTGCTCGACCCAAGTCAAGGTCGCCAACCACCTTGGCGCCGGCCACCCGAACGCCGCGCGGGCCGCGAGTCGCCTCGGCTTCGCCACAATCGTCGCCGCCACGGCGCTCGTGGCGCTGGCGACGCTGCTGGGGCGCGACCTCGTGCTGCGAATCTACACGAGCGATATCGCGCTCCTTGCGTTGAGCAACGATGTGCTCCCGCTCTTTGTGTTGGCGTTTTGCCTCGATGCGCTCGAGATCACGATGACCGCGATCCTCGATGGCATGGGTCAGATGCCGTTCGTGTCGCTGGTTGCGTTTATCGCGATGTGGGGCATCCAGCTGCCATTCGCATACCTCTTTGCGATCCATTGGAGCTGTGGCTTTGCGGGGCTCTGGTACGGCATTTGCCTCACGGCCGGCTTCAAGCTCGTCGTGCTCACGATCAAGTACACGACGATCAACTGGGCGGAAATGGCGCGCAATGCCATCGAGGCGATGGAAGCGCCGGACGCCGTCGACTGGACCATGCCGCCCGTCGCGATCGCGTCGCCTGCCAACGTCCTCTTGACGCCGTCGAACGGTTGGGGTCGCACCAAGTCGCACGTCAGTGACATTTAAACCATTACAATAGACCAACGCGTGTCGAACTACTATAGTTGAGCTGTGGGACCACTGGCGCTTTCGTACCACCGAGCGAGGTACCGATACGAAGAGAGGCCCAGTGACAAGCCCCTCGTAGTATCGAGCTCATGTATCAATGTATCTCGACCGCCACGATCCACCCGCTGAGATGCCCAATCAGATACGCTTCGTAGCCTCTAGGACGCTTCGGATTGGCTATTTCTGTGTTCGCTTTTTTGATTGGTTGTCTATCTCGATAATCGCTTGGGATTGGCTGTACGTCTTTTATCCTTATCCGGAAGACCAGGAGCACGCCAGTCTGATTGAGGCCGATGGTTCGCTCGGTGCAGCGCCGTCACGGCCTCTTCCGTCCTGCGCCCGCGCGCCGCCCAGAGACCCACGTAGCGTAGGCTTGACGAGACCATATGTACCACGTCTGCGTAGGTCCAGCCCGCGTGCCCATGGACCTCGGAGCGTCGGCGACGCACTCGCCGACGCACGGCGATGAGTAACCTTGCGCCGCCGCCTCAACTGACCCGCGAAGAGCGCCTGGCCCTCGCTGGCGTCGCGCACCTCCTGCCGTCGACGCCGCCAGCGCTCTGAGCAACTACCGTTCGCCGAGCCTCCGTGGCGTCGTAACAACACGTCAACACGCAAGTCCTTGGGCTTCAGGAGGGTCTACTGCACTTGGTTCTCGCCAAGCGCGCCTGTGATACAGTGAGCTCTCTCGCCAGGCTCGTGGCCGTCGCGTCGGGTGTACGGCGCCATGCCAAGTCAAGGCATTCGCTTCCGGAGGGCCGACTACGTGGTCGACTCCCGTAGTTTCCTAGCAAGAAGGTCGAGAAAGAGAACGGGACGTCGAGGTTGTTTATATTACGAAGGCTACGCGTTGTCCGACATGGAGAGGAGCGTCTTCTCGACGTCGAGAAAGCGGTGCGAGAGCTGCGAGTAGCGGCTGTTGCGGTTAAAGTAGCCTTGGATGCGGATCTTCTCCATCTCGGTGAGGTTCTCGAGCGACTCCTTCAAATGCTCTTCGGTCAAATCCTTGCGCGAGATGATGCCCTTGACCTCGTTGCTGCGGTTCAAAACAATCTACAACATCATCGCATGAGTCCCTCGCACTCAAGCATACGTGCATACCAAGTGGCGCAGCCCCAGCGACCGGAAGAGGCGGAAGGCGCGCGGGACCGGCATCTGGTCCTGCACCGTGTGCGGCGTCGGGTTCATGTACGGCGTGAGGTCCATCCAGAGCTCGCGCTCGGTCGAGTCGAGCCGGATTTCGTTGATGTTGGGGTACCGAGGATACGTCGACTCGATGTCGCGGTACGAGAGGGCGTACTGCTCGTTGTAGAGGAAGCTCTCTTCGCTCGCGGGCTGGCGCGTGAACGGGATCGGGCGCGCGACGCTAAAGTCCTTGCGCTGGAGCATGACGCAGAGGTGCTTGCGCTGGATGATGCCGACAAACTTGGGCGTGTCGTTCTCCTTCCCGGGCGCGACGACCGCGAAGCCCGAGTGCGCCGACGCGCGGAGGACATCGTAGATGGCGCCGGCCTTGGAAATGTGGTCGAGCGACACGACCGGCGAGCCCATGATGTTGGCGACGCGGAGGTAGCGCGCGTAAAACGGCGGGTCAAACTCCAAGAACGGGAGGTGCTTGAGGTGGATGTGGATGTCGTAGAGGCCGTGGTTGAAGCTGTTGCCGACCCAGCGCGCCATCATGAGACACACCATGATGGGAAGACCCCACTCGATGACGCCCGTGCACTCGAGGATGATGACCGTGAGCGAGATCGTCATGCGCGCCATGCCGCCGAGCATCGAGGCCGCGCCAATGAGTGAAAACATGCCAATCGGTGCAGTGTGCGGGATGTGCGCGGCTTCAAGAAAGTGGACCCAGATGCGACCGTAGGCCGCGCCGGCTAGGAGACTTGGGACGAAGAGCCCGGACGGCACCGCAATACCGTACGTCCAGCACGCCATGATGTAGAACGAGCCAAAGAAGACAAGCAGCGACGAGAGCGTGAAGGACGCCGGCGTCGTAAAGTGGAAGAGCTGCTTCATCGAGGTCGCAAACGCCACCGTGTAGAGCGACGCGAGGTCGTTGTACTCGTTCTCGGCGCAGTAAAACTGGACGAGCTGCTCCTTGTACGGCCCATCGAGAGGAAGGCACGTGCCAAAGCGGTACGAGAGCCAGAAGCTCGTGATCGCCATGACAAGGCAGATGACCATGGCCTCGAGAAACCGGCCGTAGCGATGACTGAGGAGCGGCGACGACCGGCGAAAGTTGGTCAAAATCGTGTTGGCCTGGTTGAAGATCGCGCCCATGAGGCCGCCAATCATGCCCATGGCCAGGAAGATCGGGACGTCCCACACCGCGTAGCTCTTGTTGTTTTCGGAAAACGAGCCGAACGAGAGCGTGCCCGTTTGGTTGCCGAGGTGGCCCCACCGGCTGTCGTCGTCGTCGACCTCGGACCGGAACGCGCTGTACAAGTTGACGACGAACGCCGACACCATGGCGCAGAAGAACGTGCGCCACGTGAGGTTTTGGTGCCAGAATGAAGCGCCTTCTTCCAGGGCGAAGAGGACACCGCCAATCGGCGCCCCAAAGGCCGCGCCGACGCCGGCGGCCGCACCGCACGAGATGAAATCGCGCTTCTCCTTGTCGTTGCGGAAGCCCTTGAACTTGGTCCAGCTCGTATCGAGCCCGAACGACGACGACTTGCCTTGCGAGAGACCCGCGCCAATGATCGCGCCCGAGTGGATCATCGGGCCCTCCTTCCCGACCGGGAGACCGGCCGCGACCGAGAAGAGGATGCCAATCGCCTTGCAGAAGAGCGTCTTGAGCCGACGATGCGGTGGATCTTGATGCCGTTGAGCGTGGCCTTGATCTCGGAAATGCCCGAGCCACCAGCGACGGGGCACAGAATCGCGACGCAGTACGTGGCGACGCTCACATACATGACCGAGATGGCGGCGTACGTGAGGAAAGCCATGCCAAAGGCCGCTTCGTGGTGGCGCTCCTTCTCGATCATCTCTTCCATTGCGTCGCGGCGAAACTCGGAGAAGAGGTCAGTGAACTTCTCAATAAAGCACGCGACGCCGGCCGTGCCGAGGCCAATGCCAAAGGTCATGATCCAGCGGCCCATGTTGAGCGCGCGGATCGTCTCTTCGTTCGACTCGAGCTCGTGCTGCTGGTTGACACGCGACTCGAAGAAATCGTAGTCGAACGACTCCATGTGCTGCGCCTTGGACTTCTTGAGCTGGTCCTTCTACACAGTGTATAATGAGGCGCCGCTGTCGCCGCGTCGCCCACGTACCGCATTCGACACATCCGAGTAGAGCGCCGCCTCCGAGAGCTCCGACTGCAGGTTGCCCGTCCAATCGTTGTTGATCCGACGCGGGTCGAACGTCGCTGCGTAGCTACCTGGTGAGCGTCCGAAGGACACCGGCGAGACGTCGAGAGAGACGCGGTTGTCGGTGTCGGCCGGCGACGGACTCTGGTCGGGCACGGGCGAGCTCGTGCTGCGCGGTGTGTCACTGCGAGGTGTGTCACTGCGCTCATCGCGCGGCGAGCCAAAGGAGCCGCGGACGATGGGCTCGCTGCGCGTGGCCAGCAGCGGCAGCTTCTCCTCCGGCACGGACGTGCTCGGTCCCTGCATGTAGGCGGCGTGAGGAGGACGACAGACGCGAAATGACAACCTCTGCCAGGGGCGTCGCCAAAGGCTTGGCGAACCCAGCTGGCAGCCGGAGGACCGGTCCGAGGTGCAATAAAATCCATAAATGATTTCCGCTCAACTACAAGCTTGTTGTTTGTATGGAGTCGACGCCGAGGGCATTAAAATACGATGGAGGTGGTGAAAAGCGTCAGCAAATCCCAGGGAAGTTCCGGATACGGTAAAATTATACGGATGCGACATCTGGGTGAACGTGCGAAAGGCGCGACGAGCCACGACGCAGGTGGGAAACGAGGTGAAAAATGCAGGGTCCGAGGCACGTGCCAGATTTAGAGACGGCGTGGCAAATTCGACGGAAGAAAGTCCCCATGAAATGGCCCACAGGATCGCTTGCTACGAACGAGAAATGTACTCGGCGCAAGCGATGTGCGATCTTGTGCGGCCGCCTTCGAGCGATGAAGCTACTGGCAAGCGATGTCGCTCACTGACGTACCTCCAATACCACCTTTCTTGACACGAGTCGCCACATGCTTTTGATCGAGACAGCGCCACATCGGAACAAGCGTCAAGCTGTGGACAGCAGACAGGTTGTCCACGCACTTGTACATGACACAAGTCGATCGGCAGCTTGCATCGACGTCGGCGTCGATTGAGCCTGCGAGATTCGAGGCGTGACAGAGAGGTTGGAGCCTCGAAGACGGCCCTTGGCCGCTCGCTCGGAACTTTTTCTCGGTTGTGTGGTGGTCCTTTATAGTACTAGTACCGAATAAGGTACCGTACTCGTTGCAATACCCAAGGAAGTGTCATGGTCTTGTCTCTACGTCCGAGGCTGCAAGGACGAGTGCGGCCATGACGTGGCACTCGGACCATTGTCGCTTTATTTGCGGCATATGCCACACTCATTTTACACCGCGTTTTTCACCGCGTGTCGTGGTGGCAGCAGCCAGGTGGTCGAGTGTGAAAATTTCGACCAAATGCCACCGAAAGCCGCGCGAGGGCAGGCCGAGGCAGCGGCGCGGCAAGCGCGGGCCGCGGCCCAGAAGCACCTCGCCGCCACGGGCACGGGACCGTCGCAGTACGAGGGGGCCACCAACATGGCGTGGGCATGAGCCTCGAGCGCGGCGACAACACGCTCCAGGTGCTCGCGCAGCGCCGAGCCAAGGCTCATCCCCTGCATGAGTCCAGCCACGTGTCCCATCAAGCAGCCGCCAGTGCCCCGCGATCGACAACGGCCGCGGGCTCCAGTATTGGTAGCACCATCCAAGTCGCGTCGGAGGCCAGCGCTTCGAACGAGTACGCGACGCGACGTGCAGGTAGTCCGTAGAGGTGTCCGACACGATTCTGATGGGGCACAGAGGTTGGTGGCGCCTCGAAGAACCAACTGCCGTCGGGATGGTTGGAGGCCAAGGACCCAGCGACGGGTGACGTCTACTACTGGAACGAGGTAGGCGCAACGCGACGTAGCTTCATCGTGCTATCGGCAATTTCCCTAGACCACGAAGGAGACGTCATGGACAAAGCCCGGTGCTATCGCTGAGAAGACACCGATCGAGGATCTCCCAGAGTACGCCTTATCCTGTCCGTGATCAACTCCACACTCTGCGACCTGTAGTGGCTGGCAGCTTGTGAATGACCCGACGACCCAGTCGTCGTATTACTGGAACGTGCACACACAAGAAACACAGTGGGAAAAGCCTGTCTCGCTCGGTGGGGATGAGCTTCGTACTCTCATCGTGTGGGCTCATCTACATACTATTGCGGCGTAGCCCAAGCCAAGGCCGCCAAGTCCAAGCTCGACGCACTCCTCAAGGGCATTGGGAAGCGGAGCTTTGGCGACGACGACGACGACGACATTTCTGTGGCACCAAAGAAGGCAAAGCACCGCGATGAGAACGACGACGACGCGACGCTTCACGCGTTTCTCGCCGACGTGGACAGGTGCGTCTTTTTCTCTGTATCCGATGCAGTCGTGCGACGTAGTATCCTTGGCTGCGCACTGATATATCCACGATAGCACCGACGCAGTGACTCCTCTGTGAGTGCGTTCAGAAGGCGGCTGTATGAGTCCGTGCAACCGGACTGTGATAGCCTGATAGCCATTATTAGTAGCACGCGATGTTATTATTCAACGCGCGTCGAGTAACACCGCGTCTGGAACGTTCGGCCGCGGAGGCTCTGCGTTCAGGCGGGCGCTGTGTGACGCACGTCAGTGCGATCAGTGCTGGCCGATGCGCTCGGATTCAGTCGGCGGACTTCAACCAATTCGCCTTCTTTCTTGATGGATATCATTACGTATGGGGCTGGCGACCTTCCCTTACTCGCAGCTGGATCATTGAATTCGGACGCCGTGCAGCTTCAACATGTCCCAAAACTTGACCCTTGCCCGACCTCTGTTGCAGCCCGTCCCTGCGTTCTCCCAGCGACGCCTTCCCACTCAGCCAAGGCGTGTCGAGACAAGGAGCTATGGCTCCCGAGCTCCCTCGACTCCCGTTCATTTGGGGCCACGGCGCTGAAATGATATGGCGGTGGCAAATGATATTTAAAAAAATATGAGAAAAATGATATGTGTGGGACTTCAACTGCCGCAGTAATCGGCCGTGGCATTTCGCAGCGCTTTTATTATGAAATGTAATGCCAATGTTTTATTCCGACTTGCGATTTGTATGGTTATGCGTGTATTCTTTTACCACGAGGCGAAGAAATGGGCACAGCACTGAGATTAATCACTCGAGTGCGTAATATAACATGCTCCAATGGGTCATTCTAATGCAATGGTTTTATCTCGTCTTGGTATTTGTATACAAGGGCAATAAAAACAAAACAGAAACCGAAGCGCCCCGTTTTTATATTTTCGAAACCAGCACCAGCTGGTCGACAGTTCATCTCACTTTGCCCCGCAGATTCCGATATGCCAACCGAAGCAGCCAGCACGACGAGCGCGCCCACGGACGCGCCGGCCGCCTTCCCGCCCGACGAGCGCTGCAAGTACGCCTACAAGGAGTGCAAGGAGCGCCGGTCCCGCAGGAAGAACGGCAAGCTCCACTCGCTCTGCGACTACCACCGCAAGAAGGCCAACTCGGTGCAGAAGAGCTATGCGACCAAGCGCCGCAACATGCAGCAAGCGCGTGCCAAGGCCGAGCCGGCCTTTGCCACGCCGCCGCCCGCACCACTGACAGCGTACGCGCTTCCGGCGCCGCTCCTGCCACGCGGCTACGGCGTCTACCACGAACCGGCCAACGACCACGCGCTGCGGCTCGACGAGATCAAGCGCCGCATCCAAAGTGCTTGGGAGCGCCGCCACGCGCCGCCGGGCGAGCCATCGTCTATTTATTACAGCTACCCGTCGCCGCCGCACTACCCGCAGGTGCACCACCACTACGAGCCAGTGCTGCACTCGTTCATGAAGCCCATCGCGCCGCTCCACCATTAAGTGCGCCGACGACGTCATATTTGGCCGCATGTCTCGTGGCTGCCTCGCTGCGTGTAATGCGCATACCCACGCCGCATCCAACGGTGTATCTCCCCCACACAATAATGTCGCTCAGACCACGGTAGCTGCCTTCCTACTGTACGAGTGCACACGCTTTTTTCTTCTTCCTCTTCGTCTTGGCGTCTTGCCTGGTTGTCTCTGGGCGTGGGACGCGGTCGTTGGACAATGTTTTCGAGCCTCAACAATTAAGTTTTAAATATTGGCGCACGCGCAGCAGGAGCGACCAGGACACTGAATTTCGCATGAGCTCTGTGCAAGGGAATAAAACTCTGGCTGCGGGCTCGCAGAAATTGGCTCGCAGCATCAGCATCCGACCAACGGAGACCACCATCATGCAGGATCCAATCTCTGAGAATGCACTGTTTACTGACACATTTTGGCACAGCGATTCCGACGGGTTTCGATCATTCAAAGCTCGGGAGTGGCAAGTTGTATTGTAGTAACTATGTAGTATTAATACTAGCATTGTACTCCCTGAGCTGGATAAAGCAGCAAGGTCAAAACGCGAGTCCACCTCAGTACCGGTAATCGCAGGGACTTTGGTTAGCCTACAGAGGAGTAACCCCGTGGATTGGCCAATTTCCGACATGTTTGAGCCAATCAATGGGCGGGCGGTTTTCTGCGATTGGATTGGTTTGTTGGCGCTGTATTTCAGCCAATAACCGTGCGCTATCCGTCGTGAGAGTCGACGCCGCTGCTCCTTCCCATGGCTCCTTCCTGCATGTTCGCCACCACCGCGTCTGATTGGAGTGTTCCAAACATTGTTGAATCTAACTATAATACCGTAGTCACTTGTGGTGACAACTTGTACATATACACTTTATGTCATTTAGTTGTCACTCCCTTGCAACATGCGCGAGCGTGCATTGAGGAAATGCGTCGAGCGGCCGACACACAAAAGATCGGCGGGTCGAAGCTATGGCCCAGTATTGTTGTCGCGCTCTCGAGCTCATCAAGACACACCGCTCAGCAGTTGCGAGCCACTGTGCATCATTGCAACCTTCTCTACTAAAATTATTCACTTCGCGCCCTGCTCGATTCTGGTAGACGCTTTCTTCTTCATGTCCGCAGCAGCCCGACCCTAGGCGCCACTCCATTACGACGCCACGCATGACACTTGATACGTGGCAAAAGCTCTTGTCGTTAACCGCCGAAACGTCCACTTTGAGATCCCGTGGTGCGGAGCATGCAGTTCGAAGGCGCGGGCATCACGCTCGAGCGCAATGTGATTGCGATGCTCTCCGAGTGCGGCGACATCCCGCCCATGTACGAGGACCCGGACTTTGCCGCGCGCGCCGTGAGTCTCTTCAAGAACGCGGATGCGCCCCCCGAGTACGCGACGTCGTCCAAGAAAGGCGACGACGGCATGCCCGTGCCGTGGTACCGCCCCAACCAAGTGTGCGTCGAGCCCGACTACTTTAAGAGCACGGCGGGTTGCGGCACGCTGCGTGAAAGCTCGGGGCTCAACGACGCGTGGCTCCTCGGCGTCTTTGCCGCCCTCGCCCTCCACCCGGACAACTTGATTGAGAACCTCTTTGTGTCTCAAATGCACGACTTCAAGACGTATGGCATCTACACGTGCCAGTTCTACAAGGACTGCCAGTGGCTTGAGGTCGTCACCGACACGCGACTGCCCTACTCGCAGTCGGTGACCGAAGCCAACGACCCACGCCTCGCGCCGCCGGTCGTGCAACCCGGCCATTGGCTCTACGGCAGCAGCCTCAATAAGAACGAAGTGTTTATCCCGCTCTTGGAGAAGGCGTACGCCAAGTTTCACGGCAACTACGAGGTGCTCCACGACGGCAACATCGTCGAGGCATTCATCGATTGCACGGGCGGCAGCGTCAAGAAGATCGATCTGAGCTCCGACGCGACACGGAAAACGCTTGTCGAGACCGGACTTTTGTGGGCCAAACTGCTCAAGCACCACAGTGCGTATAAGAGCGTTCTGAGCTGCCAGCTCAAGATGGCGTCCATGGCCTATAACGACGTGACGACTGCTGGTATTCTAAAGAACCGGTTGTATGTGATCATGCACCTCAAGGAACTCGGGTCGCTTCGCTTCGTCAAGATCAAAAACGTCTGGCAGCGCGGGTCCTGGAAGGGCGACTGGTCCAACGACGACGGCAAATGGGAGGACAACCTCCAAGTCGAGGCGGCGCTCCGCGCCGACGCAGCCTGCGACTTTAACCGGACCAAGAACGACGGCACGTTCTGGATGGTGTGGGAAGACTTTGTCGAGGCGTTCAACGAAGTGTACATCACGCGCATCTTCCCGTCCAGCACGTGCCAGTACTGCGTGCGCGGCGAGTGGATCGGCCCGGCGGCGGCGGGCCCACCCACAAAGCCAGCGACCGAGAACCCTACTGGCCACGAGACCAACGAGGAGCACGCCAAGGGCCCCACTCCTCGGACGTGGACCGTCCAAGGCGAGACAGACCCGTCGTGGTTTCGCAACCCGCAGTATCGACTGGTCGTGGAAGACAAGTGCACGGTTCTTCTCTCGCTTCTCCAGCGCGACTTTCGCGTCTTTGGCGGCGATAACTTTGCCGTCAACTTTGTCGTCCTCGAAGTGTCGAAGAAGGCACTCCACGCCTCGATCGTGTGGGAGTACGACAAGGCGCGCGTCGTGGCCGAGGCGCACAGCTACCCGCCCCACGACGCCCCCAAGGCCGCACAGCCCAGTGGATCGAACGCACACCCTGAGCGCGAAATCTCCAAAGGCAATGTGGTGCTCGAGCCAGGCCGAGCGTATATTGTCGTGCCCTACACGGACCACGCCGGCGTCGACATGGAGTTCTTCCTCCGCGTCTTTAGCTCGAAAGCCGTCCAGATTGACGCCCTTCGCTCGCTGCACGCGCTCGCGGTGCACGGCAAGTGGCGCGCGGCAGACGACGGCGGCAACGGCAACACGAGCACCGCCGGTGGCCCGCTCTGTCTCAGCCAAGGCGTGACGGGCCCCGAGAATTTGAGCTGGTGCCAGAACCCGCAGTTTCTCTTGCGCATGGCGCCCAAAGCTGCGGACGCCAAGCGCCCGGTCACGATCAAGATCGTCGCCAAGCAAACGTCCTACAAGGTGTCGACCAAAGGCCGTCGGGACGCGCAAAAGGACAAGGCGCACGCCCTCGGACTCACGGTCGTCCGGCCCGACGTCGTCGTCGACGACACGGCGACGACCAAGAAGCGGGTCAAAGCCGAGAAGGTCGACTTTCTCGGCGAGACCAAAGGTCCAAGCCGCGCTCAGAAAGCCCCGCCGATTCCAGAGCGGAAGCTGCTCGTCAAGGCGGACGAGTGGTGCACGATCTCGGACCATGCGAGTCCGTTGATTGCGACGTTGTTTCTTCGCAAAGTCAACCCGGACTGGCTCGTCCACGGTCTCTGGGTCGTGCCATCGCTCGGCGAGCCGCTCATGGAAGGCACGTTTGAGATTGAAGTGCACAGCGACGACGTCGTGACACTCGACGAGGTGCCCAGCGTCATGGCCAAGACCATCGCGGGCGTGCGTGGCACCACTTGCGGCTTGCGATACATCAACGCGTGTTGTGTAGGAGTGGACCGAACGCAAGAACACGGTGGGCGGCGCGCACTTGAACCCGGACTGGAAGAAAAACCCCAAGTTTTACTTGACGCTCCAGTGCGTCCGCCCGGCCAACGTCGTGATTCACTTGCTCCGGTCCGAGCACGAGTGGCGCGCGAAATGCAAGAAGGACTCGGTGCGATGACTCCTTCCCGTAAACATTGGACGAGAGGCGAGGTTGTAGGTCGGCACCATGATGGGTTTCTATCTCTTTCAAGGCGCCAAGATCCAACGCGACGCCTCGAGCGTCACGGTCGACGGGCGCATGTGGACGGAAACGGACTTCGTGCCGATGCACAGTGTCGCGTCACCGCCGCTGAGTCTCCCCGCGCTCTTCAACGAGTCGTACGTCATCATGCCGACGACATGGGAGCCCAACCGGTGTGGCCGGTTCCTCCTCTCTGTCACGGCCGACTGCGACTTCACGCTCCTCGGCGACGACGACGCGTAGTGCATCTTGAACAAACATCGGTTTACATGACTCATCGTATGCGACGTGCTTCGGAGAGGTACCGGTAGGATCCTGCCAGCCAGCTCGGACAGCCATGCGTTGGGCCATGCTAAACGTCCGGTGCTAGTCTCGACCCCATGTCCTACCAGTTAATAGGTGCTGGTATGGCGTTTGGCTATGGATTCGAACCGGCAAAAAGGGTGCCTCGGTACCCCAGCCCTAGGACTGCCAGAAGGCATGGACCTTGCTGCGGCTCAGGGATGTGTACCCGCATCCTCTTTCTTGTCGCCAGTCACAACAGCAGACGACAGAGATTGCAAGCTAAATTATTAAACAAATGGTGATAAATAAAAACACGACACACGATCACGGGTGGAGCATCTTGGCGTGGGCGATGCACATGCTATGGCGCTGCGCCCACTTGGGGCAGTGGCCGCCGCCGTTAAACTTGCAGCGCTGGCCGCCACCTACATCGTCTGAGTGAGACAAGAAACGCATTGGAGGCGTACCGTGCGCGCGGCAAAAGCCGCCACCTTGGTTGTTCTTGACGCACCCCGGCGCCCGGCAAGCCACGCGGCCGCCGTGCACCTTGCAGACGCCTTTGGACTGCGCTGTGGACATGCAGCCATCGACGAGGCACTGCTTGCCGCCACCATGAGTGATGCAGAGACCGCTGCGCTGGCTCGACCGCGGGCAGCTAAAGGTGCAGAATGAATACGACGCTGATGGACCTTTCAGACGTACGATGGCACCGTGCAGCGCTGGCCGCCGCCATGGGCCTTGCAGAGGCCCTTGGAGCGGGCAACGTTGTCGCACGTCGCGACCGAGCACTTCTTCTTGAGCGCACTGACCGTGTTCTCGGCGGGTCGCGTCTCTTTGGCCGCCGCCAATTGGTCGGCGAGCGGGATCAAAATCGCGTTGGGTGCGAAGGGCGGAGCGAGGTGCAAGGTCGGGAAGCCGTCGAGCGATGTCGGCGACGGTGCGAGGTACGACGCGAGGCTCGGCAGGAGCCGGAGGCGCGGCAGGACCGTTGCTGTCTGCATACGAGGGCGGAAATTTCAGAATGCAGACCAACTAATCTCGCGTTTTACGCCGGCACAACCTTGTTTGAGCCAATAGAGGCGGGCGAATCTTCTCGCCGCCTGGCGATTGGAACCCACCATGTTGCTGCGTCCCACACTCCAGTCAGCGGGCCACGTGTGTCACGCCCGTCGTTGAAGGTACAGATTCCCCAAGATTCGATTCCTATAGAACCAAGATCTTATGGTGGCGCAGGCGCAGTTGCAGCCACGTGGGGTAGACACCCACGCGAGATCCGAGCACGCTCCGTCAAGCACAAACGATATGTGCAGGTCACACCCCTTTCCTATGGCGACGCGGTTTTATGAAGAGTGTCGTCGCTGCTGGAATCTCAAGGGTGGACCTCTCGTATTCGTGGACAATCGAACTAAGCTAATCAATTGAGCTTTCGTCTTTGTATGCCGCCACCAAGACCCTCGTTTGCCACCGATTACGAAATGGCTCAGTTGTCAGTCGAGCGTCCGACCACTGCGCGCGCCCTACCACCTCCGAAGAAGAGGACGGAGAGGGAAAAGGGGCGGGAGATTCGATGATGAAGCAGGCGAAAGACGCTCAGCATGTGAGATACATAATGTACCTACAACCGACGGCAGACTGCAGGCCAACCGGTGCTGGTACCAGACTACGCCGGCACGACCACGGCGCCTTGTCAGGACCGCATCTCAACTGTCCGCGTGGTTGGCGCACGTGACGGCGGTGACAACTAGTTGGTTTCATGCACTCCAAGGTGACGCATCGAATGCCGATGAGAGATGATGCGTAGACCACGACGAGCGGCCGGTATTGCTCGGATTCTGCTGCATGGCGGTCACTGAACTCGGATCGTCGAATCTTCAAGGAACCGGCGACCAGAATGATGGATACACCTACACGGTCAGCACGTGTTGCACCATATGCTCGGCATGCGCAGACGACCACAAACAGCGTGACGACCCTGGCGCCAGAGATCCGAGCTCGCCACCCATGCCATGCACGCTACACACGAATCTCAGGGCGTCTCCCGTCGCTGTATGTCGATAGACCCGGGTATGTACATAGTATCTCCCGCATGCAGGCGGAGACATGCCGCTTCCGAAAGCATCTTCCTCGTGGATGCTTCCTTCTCGGTTGATCACTGACGTTATCTGGTGGCGATGGACCAGCAAGTGAGTCCATGGAATCTTGGACAATCATCGCAAGCAAATTGGTAGAGGAGGCGACGTCGAGTCGGTAGAGGTGATGGCGGACCGCTGTTGTCACGAGACTACAGATCTCTCACGAGACGACCGTCAATGGCAAGAGAGGACAAAGCGCCGCAGCGAGATAGGATGTCGGTAGTGGGGAAAGAGGCGGCCGTGGACATGCCTCCTGAGGTATACTTTAATGTGTTGGCTCATCGCTCGATCTGACCGCCTTCTTGCCTAGTACTGAAAAGCCCTTCTGTCGATAAGACGCCGCCTGATATGCATCAATCGATTAGAGTAGCCTTCTAGGACTGCGCCGCGAATCTGTTCGTTTCCGTGATGACACCGCGCGAAGATCTATGGGCTTGTTTGGATGCGGAGAAAACAGGCTTGCCTTGGGTGTCCCTACCAAGAAGCTTCGTCCGATCAAGGCCATTATTTTATGGCTTTGGTGCGATGTGAGCAAGGATCGACGGAGAGCTTTCATGGATGACGACAAAGGCAAGGAGAGGGCGCTGTTCGATGCGCATCGATGTCCAAGCGGACCAAGCCACGGCGGCTCGAAAGCTGCTTCCCCGATGTCGTTGCTCCCTTGCGTGGTATATCTTTGCCGTTCAAGGGACGTCACTAGTAGAACGCTTTATTGCATGGCGATCATGTGGGGCACGAGGAAGCGCGCACCACGGTGTGCAAGCCGCCCTATTTTCTCGAACGAGTACAAGCTGGACACGACGCGCTTCCTTGGGTGATCCTAGTGTCGCCACAAGCTGCGTACCGGTACATCCACTTGAGGGGGATCGACCGACGACGCTGGCGCATGAAGGGACGACCAAGCCTCGCTGGAGCAAGAAAGCCCCACACTTATGGTATGCAGCCCGAGCCGCACCCATCGAACGCGGCGACATCTCATGCTGTGGAGGTCGCCAACTGTAGATGGACCATCTTGGATGTACAGCTCTTGCGAGGGTGTCGCTCCGACACATTCACGGCAAGACGGCCAGAAGTCGATATACGTACGTTGAGCTAGCGACGACCAATGAGCCCATGCACAGTGTCTCGTTTCAATGAGAGAGGGTGCATGCATACCGCAGCGCTCACGTCTGCGTACATGGCAAGCTTCTTGCATGCAGCCGCGCTTGCATGAGATGCTGAGCTCGTTTCTCCTCATTACGGATACCCTTTCAAACTACATACTTGCCATCACACCTTAGATTTACTTCTGTAGGTTCAATACCTGCATGAAATGCTATACTGAATCATTACATTTGACAAGGACTTGTGCGACATGAGGTTCGATTGGAGCGCGCCAGCCAATGGGCGACGGCGGATCTCGGCCAGGATCGCCACATCCCGACGACGACAAGCGCTCACTTTACCTTTAGCCTCCATGCTGCTCCAGCTTGCGCTCACCGCCGCCGCCGCGACCGTCGCCGCCGGCCACCTCTTTGAGTCGGACCACAAGATGATCTTTGCCGGCTCCGAGGAAGCCAAGGGCAACGCGACCTTCGTGGCCGGTCTTCGCGACACGGCCGACGGGCGCAACCGCTGCGCTGGCACGCTCATCGCGCCGACTGCGGTCTTGACGTCGGCGCACTGCCTCTTCAAGCAGGTGGGCCCGCGCCAGTACCAGTTCACACCCGTCAACTACGTCGCGATTGGGTCGCACTACGCCAACGGAACCGACAACGACGCCGAGCTCATCAAGGTGACGCAGAGCGCGCCGCATGGCAACTACTCGTTCAACAGCGTCTACTGGGAGTCCCAGTACGACTTTGCGATCCTCGTGCTCGAGAAAGCGTCCAAGTTTACGCCCCTCGACATCTACTTTGAAGACGACAGCGTGAACGCGCCCGGCACGACCGCCATGGTGCGCGGCTGGCCGCATCAGCCGCGTGCGAAGGACCCGACGACGCTCAAGGTCGAGCTCGCCACGATCCAAAAACCCGAAGAGTGCAAGGCCGCGTACCCGCAGGTGCAGCCGGTGCACATTTGCACGGCTGCGAGCTCGGTCGACGACCTCTGCGCCGGCGACTCGGGCGGCCCGCTCACAGTCAAGAAGGACGGAAAGGAGGTGCTCATTGGTGTCGACAGCTACGGCGCGGGCTGTGGCGGCGGTATTGGCATCTACGGCCGGATCTCGTCCGGCAAGTCGTTCATCCAGCCCTTCCTCGCCAAGTAATTTCAATGTCTTTTTCTATCTCAACTCTATCGCTGCACCGACGCGCTGAGTCCAGAAGCACACTCGTAGCTCTCCCGTACTCGTCTTACGGAAGCAGCGATGAACGAGGCGATGGCATACCAACGATACATTCTTACCTCGTATCCATGCCCTGCTCCATGCCACCCTAGTAGACATTCCCTTGATGCCACCACACTCGTGCCTGTACCCCTGCCTGTACCCGCGCCAACCCGGCCAAGCTCTTGCAACACGCGGCCCACGATCGCATGAGCAGGCCGACGTGCGTGCGCAAGACGGTCTGCTGGAGGTGTGCAAACAAGGATGCTTACCGTTAGAACGCTAAAACGTCGGTAGTAGTCGTTATAACGTTAGGAAAAAATTGATATCCGTAATTATGACATCCTTAGTGCAGACCTGGCTTTCGAAATCGAAGCGGGTTGAAGCTGAAACTCTTCTATTTCAATACCTGTATAAACATATTGATCAAATACAATTGTAAATATTGAACAAACCTATTAGAATCAATATCCTGCAGAAACAAATAGATATGCTGTGGCGACTCCAGGCAAGCTCTCTATTCGCGGCAAACGCTCGTGGGCCGATCAGAGAGGAAGCATACGCCACGATATTGGCTTCTTCAACGTCATTGCTCATATTTCTACGCAGCAGCTCTCCCCATCTCTCTTCGTCCATACCGATGGCTTGGTTGAAAAGCATGGGCTGGGTTGTTCGAAGTTTCGCGCCTAGGAAATGGACCAATCAGAGCGCGGCGAGGATTTGATGTCGTGGTTGCCCATTCCTCAACTGGCATGCTCGCCGCACTCCGCACGCTTGGCCTCACTGCGCTGCTCGCGACGAGCGTCATGGGCCGGCGCTTGATCCATGGCGGCGACCCCGCGCCGAATGCCACCTTTGTCGCGGGCGTCCGCTACTCGATCGACGGCGCCAACCGCTGCGCTGGCACGCTCATTGCGCCTCGCCTCGTGCTCACGGCGGCGCACTGCCTCTTCACGCAAGTTCATGCGCGAGTGTACCAGTTCTCGCCTGCGCAGTACGTCTCGATTGGCGCAGTTGACGCCAACGGCACTGGTCACGGCGAGCAGATCGCGGTCGTTCAGAGCGTTGTGCACCCCAACTATACGTACGATGCGCTCAACTGGTCGACGACGCATGACTTTGGCGTGCTTATCCTTGCGTCAGCGTCGAGCTATCCTCCGATCGCGCTGGACTTGAACCCACTCGTGCTCGACGGCGCCTTGGGACGCGTGTACGGCTGGCCCGACCGCGCTGGCAACCGATCGGTCGAGCGCGTCACGGTGCTTCGCCACGAGGCGTGCCAAAGTGCCTTTACCCAGCTCAGCGCCACGAATCTGTGCACTCAAGCCAAGTCGCAGCGTCATCAATGCAGTCGCGACTCGGGCGGACCCTTGACCATCGTCGCCAACGGCTCGCAGGTCCTCGTCGGTGTCGATAGTTTTGGCATCGACTGCCAATCCGGGATCGCCGTCTCGGCGCGGCTCTCGTCCGCAAAAGACTTTTTGACACCGTTCTTGACCAACGCCACGCTCAACACATAATTGTCTTTTCAGAACCATCATAAATGATCGTGTGCGACACTCGATCGGAAAACAGTGTACGAGACGCTGTATTGCAGTATCCACGGAGCTCCACTCGATGAGGATGGGCTCTTGCAACATCTCGCTGCAGCCGTGCTCCGCGCGGGGAATCGAGCCACCCCGCCGCATGTACTCGCATCGAGCTAGCTCTTTGGTGGTCCATGTGGGTCTAGTCGAAGAAGCACCGACTTGTAGTTAGTTGCACGCATACCGTGTCAAAATGTAGGAGGTCAAAATGACCCAATTCGTTGCCTTTCCTCGTTCGCCGCGTTGCATTTAATTATGATTTTTAATAAAGTATACAAACCACAAATCACATATGACGCAATTGGAATAAAATACGACGCCAGAACTGAGCAGTAGCCAATCCGCGCGCTTGTTCGACGAACGTCCATTTCCGTTACAGATTGCCCGGTCGAGCATACTCATTCCAGGCTTAAACCTGGCCAATCGTGCCGTGGCAAGCTCTTCTTTTCAGCCAATCGGCGCGCTGTATTAACTCTTGCAGTAGGTGCCGATGTATTACGCATAAGGTACCCCACAAAAGTAAAGGATAAATGCCAAATCCGCACGCAGTAGGTGGCATCGATTGTATTTCTTGCAACGTCGCCGAGCTTGGAAAGAAAAGATATGGCTCGGTGCGGCAGAGGGTCTTATTTATAAACGGCGAGCCCAACGACGCCAATCAAGGTCGACGCGGACGATAGCAGCGGCGCCAGCATGGAGAGGACCTTCGCGGCAGTCGACGATGGACGCGTGGCCGAGCCCGACGACGACGAGGAGTACGAGTCCGAAGACCCGGCGCCGGGGACGGCCGACCGGCGCAAGCAGTGGAACGCCGAGGACGACGCCGCCATCTTGCAGTTTGTCAAGTCGTTTGGCACGAAGCGCTGGTCCAAGATCGCCAAGCTGCTGCCCGGGCGCACGCCCAAGCAATGCCGGACACGGTGCGCCTTTCGATGACGGCGATGGCGCCCTGAACAATACATAGGTGGTTGAACTTTTTGGACCCGTCCATCGACAAAGCCCCGTGGCGCGCCGACGAGACAGAGATCATCTTTACAGCACAAGCACGCGTCGGCAATCGGTGGGCCGAGATTGCCAAGCTCCTTCCAGGCCGGTACGCTCTCCACATGCAACACGATTTCCAATGGAAAAGCAACGTCTCGCTGCGTAGAACGGACAATGCGATCAAGAACCATTGGTACTCGACATCGCGTCGGCGACAGCGCCAAGCTGCCAAGCAACGCGACCAGGTCAGCCGTCGCGCTGTGCGTGTGGTCAAGCCGCTTCAGATGAAGCAGGCCGAGGAGCTCGCCAAGAAGCAAGCTGCAGCCGCTGCGGCGCCCACGTCGGTCTCCCAGCTCTTTCCACCACAGCGCCGGCTCATGCCCAGCGACCCGGACTCGTGGACGCCGCCAGCCTTTACGCTGACCAACAATCCGACCGCGTGGACCCCACCGGACGCCAAGCACACGATGTGCTATGACCAAAACAAGCTGACGCACAACGCCCCAAAGAGCCCCGACTCGTTCTCGAGCGATGGCATCAAGGTCATGCCGCTGGATCGGCCCGTCAAGCCCAAGCTGCGCGTCGACGCGCTCAAGTCTGCGTCGCGCGAGCGCAGCAACAGCGCCGACCTCTTCCTCGACTGCGTGCACTTGCTCTCGGATATGCCCACGTAAGCTGTGTCGCCTTTCTATATATATATATATACGTGTGCTCGATATCTCATGGCACCGCGCGCGTCTCGAGGCCACGCACGAGGTGCACCAGGAGCTGATTCGTCGGCGTCGGAATGCCATGGCGCTGGCCGTAGTAGACCACCATCTCGTTGATCGCACCAATCTCGGTTCGCTTGTGCCCACGCAGATCGTGGAGCATCGAGCAGACGTTGGTGGCAGTCGCGCTGGCCACGTCCAGCGTATACGTCAACGGGCTTTTCCCATCCAGATGCAGCGGAATGCCCTCGGCGGCCGCGACCGCCGCCACTTCGTTGACGACCGACTCGACAACGCGGCGGTTCGACGCGCCCTGCGTCACACACTACTCGACAGGATGAGTCTCTCGCGGATGCGCAGAGCGTACGAAATTCGGTCGATCCAAGATGGATGCGAGCGGGTTGATACCAGCGTTCACGAGCAGCTTGGTCCAGATCACCGATTGCACGTCTTGAGAGTTGATCACAGTTGTGTGCAGCTCTAACAAGTCCATCGGTGAGTAGAGAAAGGACAGGGGCATCGGTGTACGCGCTGCGTCGAGGAGTTGGCACAGTCGATCGAGGTGGACTTGCTGGAGGTCGCTCAGATGGTCTGCGCCTTGGAGGATCGTCGAGCCGTGGCCGCCGAGGATCACATGACCTGGCGACGTGCATTGCCCGCCCATGTACGTGACGCCATGGAGAACATTCTCCGTCGCTAACGTTTCTCTCAGCGTCTGGACGTTCCCAAGACCTAGTTAGCAGGACGACCGGTCGTGGAGCGACTCGTTCTAAGCGATGTATATACCATTCTGCAGCGAGATCAAGAGCGAGTTCTTTCCGACCAAGGGGGATGCCTACGGAGCGCGACTCAGTGGTGGGAAGGAGGCGCGAGCGGTACCGCGAGCTGCTGGGCCACGTCGAGCGTGTCCGTGGACTTGACAGCGATGAGCACGACATCGAGCGGGTCCGTGACGTGCTTGTCGGCGCCGGTCGTGAGCGCGAGCGCGTTCGGCGGCTTGTGCACGGGCACGCGCAGGATCGCGTCGGGCTGGCCGCGCTCGTAGAGGGCAACGCTCTCAAGGCGGGGCAGGTGCTGCGGCTTGACGAGCGCAAAGACGCGGTGGGCGCTCTTGGCGCCAGGTGGGTTGATGTGGTGCAGCAGCCGGTTGAAGAAGATGGAGCCGACGGCGCCGAGCCCTACGACGCCAACGCCAACGCGCATGCTGCTGCTGGCACAACCAAAACCGCGGGTGGCAGGAATCGGCAGTTGCCGAAAATAATCTACCGAGTTCGGCGTCTCATGTGGTGGGATTGGTTGAAATGATTTCATTTTCGCGAATGGCCTTGCGTTAAAGTGTGGATTAGCCTCTTTTTCGTCCAATGAAATGGCATGGAACCTGGGGCCGCTCGTCCAGATTGGGTAGATTTCCATATTCGTCACGGGGGAAGGAGCACGATGGCCGGCCGCGGGGAATGCCAGACGAAGAACACCAAGGACTACGACAACGAGGATGAGCTGAATGAGGCCCCGTCCAAGGTGCTCGACGAAGGTGACATTGCGCTCCTCAAGACGTACGGCCTCGGGCCCTACACGCGCGCGATCAAGTCGGTCGAGGACGATATCAAGAAGGTCCAGCAGAGCGTCAACGACCTTGTGGGCATCAAGGAGAGCGACACGGGCCTCTCGCTGCCGTCGCAGTGGGATCTCGTCAGCGACAAGCAAATGATGCAGGAGGAGCAGCCGCTCCAGGTCGCGCGCTGTACCAAGATCATCAACGCTGGCGAAGACGACGCCAAGTACATGATCAACGTCAAGCAGATCGCCAAGTTTGTCGTTGGCCTTGGCGAGAAGGTTGCGCCCACGGATATCGAAGAGGGCATGCGCGTCGGCGTCGACCGCACCAAGTATGCGATCCAGATCCCGCTGCCGCCCAAGATTGATCCGACGGTTTGCGCCTTGTCGCCGTACCGCATACACTGAGCAACCACGTAGGTCTCGCTCATGACGGTCGAGGACAAGCCCGACGTCACGTACGACGATGTCGGCGGCTGCAAGGAGTCGCTCGAGAAGCTGCGCGAAGTCGTCGAGCTGCCGCTGCTGCACCCCGAGCGCTTTGTGAGCCTCGGTATCGACCCGCCCAAGGGCGTTCTTCTTTACGGCCCGCCCGGTACGGGTAAGACGCTCTCGGCGCGCGCTGTCGCCAACCGCACGGACGCGTGCTTTATCCGCGTCATTGGCAGCGAGCTCGTCCAAAAGTACGTTGGTGAGGGTGCGCGCATGGTCCGCGAGCTCTTCACGATGGCGCGCTCCAAGAAGGCGTGCATCGTCTTCTTTGACGAAGTCGACGCGATCGGTGGCGCCCGCTCCAGCTCGGTACGTCGATCGTGCTTGCGTTCTACATCTCACAAGAATCGTTTAGGAGGAAGGCGGCACCGACAACGAAGTCCAGCGCACGATGCTTCAGATCGTCACGGAACTCGATGGCTTCGACCCGCGCGGCAACATCAAGGTACGACGTGTCCTTGCGCCTGCGCCTGACCGTCGTTAGGTGCTCATGGCGACGAACCGACCCGACACATTGGACCCGGCGCTCATGCGTCCGGGCCGCTTGGACCGGAAGGTCGAGTTTAACGTGCCGGAGCTGGAAGGCCGCACGCAGATCCTGCAGATCCACGCCAAGAGCATGAGCTGCGACCGCAACATCCGCTTTGAGCTCATTGCGCGCCTCTGCCCCAACACGACGGGTACCCATATCAGATCTTGGTCGTGCAGTGAGATGACACAAATGGATGAACGCAGGTGCCGAGCTCCGCAGTGTGTGCACAGAGGCCGGTATGTATGCGATCCGCGCCCGCCGCAAGTCGGTGAGCGAGAAGGACTTTCTCGAGTCGGTCAACAAGGTCATCAAGGGCTACCAAAAGTTCTCGTCGACGCCCAAGTACATGGTCTACAACTAGGCGCGACGACCCATTGTAGTTCCAACTCAACATGCTATCAAGTGCTTGCGTTGTGCTATCATCTCAGATTCACTGACTGGTATCTGGTATCGATCTCGACACGTCTAGTTTCGATCGTTATCCGGATGTGCGCGTTGATTGGGAGATTGTTTTTTACGACATACATGGAGGTTGTTACTTAAACGTCAACTTGGATCCCACGCTGAGTTATCCGGATGACCCGCGAAATCAAGCAGCACGACCACATGACAGCGACGGGATCGCAAGGAGCTCGATGGCGTCGTCCTCTGCCCGTTCTGGCTTCAGGACCTCTGACGAACGCATTTGGAGTCACTCGGAAGTATGTCTCTGACCCAGAGTCACCTCTTACTTCAGAACGATTGAATCAGTTCTCAGTCGACCAGGCGACCGCCCGCGTGGACCGGAACGAAGCCGAGCAGAGTCCGAGTCTTCGCGTGGGGCTCAAAGCGCGTTGATCTCAAAGGAGGGCGTAAGCTGCTGACGTGTCGTCCGTTATTGTAGGAAGCTAGTTTAAAGGACTGTGCCAGTTGACGCTAGGGACTCTGGATGCAGACAAGTACTGTCTACGACTGAGAAGCGCGATATTCAGCACACCCCGCGCCTGATCTGTGAGAAGAATCTCAGAGATTGAAGCAGCCTTTGGTGAGCCAAACTTTCTGAAATATTTCAGAACTCTTGGTTGTGATCCTCAAAAAAGGCGATTGTAGTTTGAATCCTCCCTTGCTTCTTCGGTGGTCGTCGTCGGCTCGTTGCCAAGCGTCGTAGCGTCAACGCCTGCGTCGTAGACAGCAGAAAAAGAGAATCTGATCGCGTGTGTTATCGAACACAACCCGCGCGGCGTCGGCCCAGTGACCAGTTCGTCGAGATTACCAAGGTCGTCGTTCTATACTTCCTACTACGCTTGAGGTGCTCACCAAAGAGCATGGCACGGTCCCAGCGTCATCAGCCGTGCGGTCCCTTGTCTGAGGACCGCACGGCTGATGACGCTGGGTGTGTGTTCTGATCGTGGTGGGATCCTCCTGCGCCGAGATCCGATCGCTGCTCAGACGCGGCCGACGTGTGCTGTACGTGGCCGTCTTGTTAAGGATCCTTTCTTTACAGCTTGGACGTGGTGGGAGGAAGAAGATGACTGTGGAGAACAAGATATGGGTGTGCTGGAGAGTGGACGCGCCGATGGCTACTTGCCTACCATGGCTAGAGCAACGCGTAGTAGTCGTATGACTCTGGTCCAGAGCCTTGTATGCGCGCACCTCACCCCACTAAGACCTCCCACCACGATTTGCTCGCAATACTCTGGTATCTGGGCCGACGGACCTCTGGCGATTCAAACCATGGTAGAGTCATGGTCCAGGGCAGAAAAAATCCAGTCTGAGTCGGCGGTGGGTCCCTCGAAACGAGAACGCAAACGACCCCCACCCCAGAGCCCCCCAGAGCTCACCCCAGGTTGCAGAGAAGGCGCAAGTGGTAGCTTGTTGCGCAACATCCCCATCATCAACGTGCGTCCTCTCTGGTCCGTCATGGTTGGCCTCCATGATGGGTTGGGTCCCGCTTTGGAGCTAGCGCCTTCCTGGTTGGCAGCGCCGCGCGTAAGACGCTCTTACGACGTGGGGACTCGCTCCTACGATGGCCGTGTCGTGCAAGGGATCTGAGATTGATGTCTGAGCAACCCAGGTCGTGTGGTGGGGGCGGGCCCATCTGCTTTCGCGTCTGTCAGTGCTCGCACCCAGGTAAGCGTCCGTAACGCATCGACCTGAAGCAAGACACTGTGGACCATCGCGAGCCTTTTAAACCGCTTGGTTGTCGCGTCGTCGTCACCTGCGCCGGCGGTCAGATTCCTCGCCATAGCCACGACTCCTCCGTCCGCAGCAGACGCAGGCTCAGGGTGGCGCGTCCGAGTAGCCAGGCAGAACACACGTGGTATCTGTACCCAGCTGGTGCGTTCGTCTTGCTGCAGAGGCCGAATCGGGCCACTGTGCTGCCCGTCTGATCCTCTGCCGGTCTCCGTGGGATCGGCACGCGGTCGAAGCTTCAACGGGAATAAGAACTGCGCCGTCGCCGCTTTGTAGAGCTGCTTGCGACGACGTATCGACTTGATCGACCGCGCTTGATGGTTCGTGGTCTCTGAAGCAGCGCCTTGGTAGCGTGACAGCCATATGCAGCAGATTCGAGCTGTTTGCTTGACGGCAACTGATGCCATGCACATCCCACACCCCGTGCGGTCAACGATCTGAGAACGCGGTTGAGAATACATGCCAGTTGGTCGTAGCAAGAAGCTCACAAGTGCCAGTTGTTTCTGCCCAGCACCCGTCGCGTCGTCATTTCCCCTTTTGCCTTCTCCTGCACTCGAACCATGGGCGAGCTCGCAACGTGCCGGTACAGCCATGGCAAGTGCAAGCTGCCGCGCGCCACCAAGAAGAATGGCACGCTCCACACGCTCTGCGAGTACCACCGCACCAAGGCCTGCGCGCATCAAAAGAAACTCGACGCCAAGCGCCGCAACGAAAAGCTCAAGCTCTTCCAAGACGACCCGTCGCTTCGCCCGCACGGCCGCAAACTCATGGGCAAGCCGCTCTCGCCCATCGTGGCGACCGGCAGCTGGCACGACATCCACGAGACCGAGAACCGCGCGCCGCTGCCGACCCGCCAGTTCAACTGGGACCACCACCCGTCGCCGCCGCCGCTCTCGCCGTCGTTCCTCAAGCCGCTGCCGGCGACGGCGCACTATCAACCGTCGTCGCAGGTGCACCACTACGTGCAGGCGTACCCGACGTACGACCCGTCGCCGCGGGACGTGTACCAAGGCAACGAGTACGACGAGAATCGCCGGTACGACAAGTTTGCGCCGCCGGCCTACCGCCAGCCCACCATCACAGCTACCACTTCTTCAACGGGCGGCGGGAGTATTATGCGCCGTCGCCGCCGCAGGCGCAGTACAACGAGCCGTTGCGGGCCGACCTCATTTCGCCGCGCGCAGCGTACGACTATTACGAGCCGAACCACGAGGCCGAGCCAGCGTACGCACGCTGGGGCAGCCAGCCCGTTGCGTACCACTCGTAAGCGCTCTGTCGTCGTCGTCGTCGTCGTGCCTGTGTACCATACCGCCTCGTGTTGTCGCTGTTATTATTTTGCTGGATTGTCTTTTTTTAAACGCACTCAAATCGTTCTTTTATACGACGTTCACCGTTCTTTTATAGTGTCAGAGCTCTCTTTTAGTCTCGTCGGTCGCGCGCGAGTCGCCCACCTCTCATCATGTAATGCTCGTTGGCGAGTTCACGGCGGCTGCGGAGAAGGTAGCGAGCACCCATGCCGCTCTGCACTTTCTTGAAGTGCGTTTTTGAACTTGCTCGCCGTTGAATTTTTAGATTTTTAGATTGACGATCACGCTGTGCTGAGGCAATCCTGCTTGGCAGCGATACGGCGACGAGGAAGCCACGTGGCCAAACAACCCGTAGCTGCAACTCGACAACCCATTCAGACATTTTGAAAGTGATGGAGACATCGGGATCGAAGCAGACTTGGACCACCCGAGGTAAACCCACTTGGACTGGCCTTCAGTAATTGGTGATGTTCTCAGTGCAATCTTGCCACCTATCTGTCGTCGAGAAGCTGCAACGAATCGTGCCACGTGGCAGCGTGTTGCCGTTTCGTGATTGGTGCCATCTGAGTCAGCAACTGCTCTCTCGTGCTGCCACGAGGGGTGGGGGGTCCAAAACAAGGTGCGCTTCAATGTCGGTGGCGCATTGAAGAGGCTCCTTAAGCAACGTCAACAAGTAGCCAGACAGGAGATACCTAGGATTTATTACTCTACATACGACACTACCATGCAGTGCGTCAGAACGCGGACGTGAGTGCGAGGCGCTCGTTCCACACGTGCCGCTCGAGCGGCGACACATCGGCCTTGGTCTCGGCCATTCGCTTGCGCTTCACATCCGAGACGCGCCCATACAAGACAGGTACGATCGCACTCTCTTCATCGAGGCACGGAACGGGCGAGGCGGTCGCGGCCACCGGCATGGGCGCATTCGGCTTGGCCATCTCGGCGCAAGCAGTGCAGATGCGCGCCTCGTGGCTGCCGAGGCGCCACACGTGGTGGCAGGCGCGGCACACAGCGTGGCCACACATACGACACCGGAATTGCTTGGTTGACTGAAAGAGGTTTTTGCGGAACGAACGCGTACATCGCCGGCAAGCGACGGCCTTGGGCTGCGCGCGGACAATGGTCAGGGGCACGAGCTGCACGGCGCTGAGCTGCTCGGCGCGGAAGTGCGTGTCGAGCTGGCACGCTTGCAGCAAGAGCGAGAGCATCACCGAGATCTGTACTTGTGCGTGAGCGTTGAGAAGGCAGTTTGTGCTCGCACCTGAATGTCCTTGGGCACATTGCCTTTCAGCTGCAAGACGAGCACGTGGTACGCATCTAGCGCGCCGACCTCGTCGTTGGACTCGATAAAGACTTGGCCGGATCGCTGAAAGAGGCCGCGCGTGAGGCCGTGCGATGCGTTGAGCGGGGGACAGCACGCTGCGTCGACCGAGTGCACGCTTCGGACAAAGCCGCGCTGTCGCGCCGGTCCATCGAGGAATTCGTCGTGGCACTAGATGCATAGGAAGACGTGCACACTACGATGTGGAGGACGTACCTCGAGGTAGCAAAAGTCGCGGTCGGCAATGACGGGCGGTGTGCGCAGCGCCATCCACTGCAGGTACACAGCATGCAATGGCGCCTCGGCGACTTCTCGCCGCGCGACGAGCTCGTACAGACGGACACGGTCCAGCACATCACTGGCCAAAAGCGGGTTCTTGCCATTGCTTGACGTCGCAAAGTTGGCATAGACATCCGCTACAGCGTCGATCGAAGCATTGACGAGCGTATGGGCGCTCATGCAGATCTCGTTGGGGTTCTGCAGGTCGGTGCCAAGGCGCACCGTGAGACGCCGCTGCGTCTGCGGGTGCGTGAACGTTTGGTACACGGGCGCCGCGCCCGCGAGCGCCTTGGCGTTGAGGATCGTGTCACGGCAGGCGTCCCGCGCGTCCGCTATCAGCGAGACGCGCTCATGCGTCTGCAGCGGCGGGCAGCGGAAGAAGGACGGCGGCAGCGGCAGGTATGGCATCGACGGCGAGGGCCAGTCGGACAACTGGCTCTACCATCGCTGCCAGCAAATGGCCAGATATCGTGACAACGCATAGATCCGGTGTATGTATTTAAAGAGGTGCTCCGTGATAACCATGCCACCGACAATCCATTGCATGGGCATGGCCCCGTACCAAGTTCTAGCGAAACGACGACGACGCCCCATAAGCGTATCTGCAAACCTTGGTCCAAAACGGGCTACATGTAGTAAGCTGACCCCGAAGTGGACGCACGTCCTCAAACAACTCCTCGATCGGCCCGTGCGGTGGCATCTGAGATCCAAGCACTGTTGGACTTGACGGCAACGAGGCGGCTGTGGACGCGTACTGTTGCATTTGATGGGTCCCTCCCTTACGTCTTACTGCAAGAATATCCTCTGGGGACCCACCTACCTCGACCCCCACGACAACAAAAAAGGGTCGCAGCGTTCTGCCGTCGGTGGGACGACCTTGGCGAAAAGGCGCGTTAGATTCGTCGCGCGCGGCTGCGCACGTCTCGCTATCTTGGTCGTGTAGAGCGTTGGTGCAGGTGCAGAGGCTGCGAATGGCCGGCGTGATATCGGTAAGCGACTTTTTAGCCACGCTGTCGACTGTCGCAGCCGCCGACTCAGGTCGTCCAGCGAGTGCAGTCCACCCAGTGCACTCCACCCAAGAAGAAGTCTGGGTCCGTCGAGTACAGGTAGCGTTGACGCATCACCACCCGTTCTCAGATGCCGCCCCGTACGTTGTCGTCTGCGAATCTGGTTTTATGGTCGCTCGCCCTTGGCCATCGCGATCAACCACCCACTGTATTGCTCTGCTACCCGTTGGCTTGCCCTTCTTGAACTTTTCCACGCGTCTGGCAATGTACACAAACAGTCCACATTTGATTCTCAGGCTTGCTAATGGTCCTCGTCAATGTCGCCCAAGAGGGGCATCTCTGGCACCATGCGCGGTGGCGTCCGTGTCGTCGTCGTGTCGAGGCGGCTTCCCGTGAGGCTGGACAGCGTCGGCAGTAGCCGGCTCGAGTTCTCGGGGCTGCCCGGCGCTATGGGCTTGGGGCCGACGCTCAGCGGGCCTTTGGTCACCGCCGCTTGGACGCAGTCGTCGCAGATGCGGATGCGGATCGGGCGGGCCCCTGGGCTCGGAAGAAGCATCCACTTGGCCGAGCAGCCAAAGCACACGACGCGCCCGTCGAGCTCGCAGTGCGTCTTGGGTCGCAGCGGGTGAAACCGGCGTTGACATACGGCGCAGTGCTTGGCATGTGCCTTGGGCTCGACCCAGCGCGGGCTGTAGCTTGGGGACCGGCGCCAATTGGCGAGGGCCACCGCGGCTTTGGTCAGGCGCTGTCGCTGAAAGTAGCCCGTCAAGGCCATGAGCGACGTGATCTGGCGCCGCGCAAGCGCAAGATCCAAATCGGCGATCGGAGCCACGACGATCGCGAACGCGTCGACCGTTGTGCCGCCGCAGTAGGCTTTGGACGGCGGCGGCTCCAAAAAGATATGGCCGACCCGGAAAAAGGACCTTCGGTTGAAGCCGCGCCGAGGCAGGCACACGTTGTGCGGCAGCTCTACGGATTGCACAACGCGCAGCAAGCCGCGCTGGGCACTGGCGCCCGTAAAACCGAGCTGGGTCTCGACGACGCAGTAGTCGGAGGTGCCGATGCCAAGCCATGCGACCACCGTCGACTGCCACGGCTTGTCCCGCGTCGGGCCTCCTAGCCGCGCGAGCTGTTCGTACTGCACGGCGTCGGAACTCAAGTAACCACCTTTGCACGTAGGCAGGTGCGCGGCAATCTCATCGAGGGACGCGGCGAGCGTGGTGCGCCCGAGCATCGTGCTGAGGTCCGTGTCGATGGTGTCGAGGCCGCGACGAAGCTCCATGCGGCGGAGGCTCGTCGGGTCGAGGTGCTTGGCGTACAGCGGCGCGGCCTCGAGCGCGCTAAGGTTGGCGAGGACAGCATGGCAGGCAGCGAGTCCGTCGCGCTTGAGCTGGCGCACGACGTGACCAGGCAACACGCTGTCGTCCGCCGCGGGCATCGTAAAAATGGTGCAAGTTACGGCATTACACGAGTCCAACAGTTGATGGGAGTGGGACGCCACGGATATCACATTGGACGCCATCCCTTTGGCACATTGCCCTTTCCCACATTGCCCTTTGTCCTTCCCGACGAATGTCTCTGCAGGGCTTTAGCATGGAGCCAATTAGTACGCAGACAAAAATGCGATGATGATTCTGCTAACCTACATGAAAATATCACGGAAAAAAGTCACCGTGGTGAAGGAGCGCCTTAGTACTAGCGGTACTGGTACGGCGAAGGCTCGTAACTGTGGTCTTGCACGCGCAGGCGGGCCATTGCGTGGTCAAGCCCCGTGTTGCTCGGCGGCCGGCTGTAGTAGACTGGCGGCGGCTCAAAACTCGGCGGCTGCGAGTACGCAGGTGGTTGTTCATTGGCATACCCTTGTGGTGGCGGGTACGCGTAGCTGGTCGACGCCATCGATGAGCCCGAGCCTTGCTTCTTAAAGTGCGTCGACCATGCGCGGTCGAGCGTGTCGAACGAGACGTCCGACTCGCCAAAGTTGTCGGCGGTGAAGAGGTCCGTGCGGTTGTCCACGTCCCAGCCACTCCCGAGGCGGATCGAGCGCACGCTTTCCATGAACTCGCCTAAAGCACCGTCATCATCTACTCGATCGTCCAACGGACGTACTTTGGTTGTCGTCTTGGCGTCGGGCGCGCATCCGGTTTTGCAGCTCGGGCATTTCAAAGTCGACGCTGGACGCGGACGAGACGTTGCGCTGCTGGAAGCTCTTGTACGCAGCCACGTTGGCGGGCGCGTTATTGCTGTGTTGAGCGAGCCGCTCGAACGGGTTGCTCTCGTACATGCTTTCGTAGTCGCTCTGGAGGTCGCCAAACGCTGACGGCGCCTTGTCGTAGTGGTAGCTGCTCTGGGTCTCGGTCGCGGGCTGGTACCGCGGCGCTTGATGCAGACTACCCACGGGCACGAGCGACTGCGACGGCGGCTGCAGCGACACCGAGTGCGACAAGGTCGACTTGGCGTAGCCCGTGGTGACGTGCGGAAGCGACGACGAGGACGACGGGCGCGACCGCCCGTGCATTTCGTCGCCTGCCATCGAGAACGACGACGCTGCCGACGACTGCCGGTGCTGCGACTGGTGCTGCGACGCCGCGCGTCCCGGCGGTGCATACGCCGGTCTACATCGCGCTGAGTGTTTCCTCGATCGACAACTGAGGACGTACTCGGGCGTGAACTGGTCGTTGGAGAGTCGGTCGTCGCCGCCGTCCGACTCGTTGCGACAGAGGTTCGAGCACATGGTGCAGATACGCACGCGCTTCTCGCCCGAGTAGGGCAAGATGAGATCCCTATACCGCGTGACGTCGGTCCTGCGTCGTACGATGTAGTCTTGTGTACCAATGGCTGCTGCAGTGCTTGCAGACGACTTGTCCGCACTTGCGGCAGCGAAACTTGCGTGTAAAGAGCGGGTCAAACTTGCGCGCGCACCAGTGGCAGTTGGAGACGTGCTTCTTCGAGGGCAAGTCAATGTCGCCGAGGATGCGCCCGGCGCTGAGCTTCTTCATCTGGAAATGCTTGTCGATGCGCGAAATGCTCTGGACGCGCTGGCGCAGTGTCTGGCGCTTGATCCACGGCGGCACGCGCCCTTTAAAGTTGACTTGCAGAATGTGCGTCACGTCCAGAAACCCGGGTTTGTCGGTCTCGACAAACACAAAGCCGGACCGGTAGTAGCTGCCGCGGACGTAGCCGAGCGTCTTCTCGAGCGAGACGCAGGACGGGATGTTGATCGAGTGCATGCAGCGGACCCAGCCCTGCTTGCCCGTGCGCGTATCGACGAACTCGTCTTGGCACTACAAAGCATGCGATGCGATGCGACGGTACTAGAGAGGGTCGAAGCGCATACCTCGAGGTAGCAAAAGTCGCGGTTCCGGACCAGCGGCGACGTCGACTCGACGGCCGCCCAGCGCACACCAATGTAGTGCATCGGGTTGTCGGGCGTCGGCGTCGCGAGGTCGTAGATCGAGAGCATGTCAATGAGGTCCGGTTCGAAGACGCGCGAGTACTCGGCGAGCTTCTCTTCCGAGGCAATGTTGAAGATGTCGGCGACCTCGGCGAGGCTGGCCTTGATCGTGTTGACGCCGCACACGTACGTGAGGTCGTCGTTGCCGCCAAACTCTTCGCCCTGGAAGATCTGGACGCCGGCTTTCGTCTCCATGAGCCGCCACTTGACCGTCCCGCCGTTCTCTTGCGCGTAGAAGATGACCTCCATGCACATCTCCTTGGCGAGGTTCACGAGGAACTCGGTTTCTTGGCGCGTCAGGTCGGGGCGGTTGAAGAACTCCTTGGGAAGCGCAGCCCCGGACGCGCTGGACCCTCGCATGCTGCTGCTGGTCGGGAAGTAATCGCAAACTGCACTTGGCCGGCCAACTCCTCTCTCGCCGCGATGCCATTGGCTGAAATCACTGAAAAAGGCATCTTGGGATTGGACAAAATAATGACAGGTCGCTTGCGATTGGACGAGCGACTTCAATTTCCGCGACGGTAAACTGGATCGCGACCATAGACACCTCACACGGTGCAACATATTGATGGGATTCGCAACGACATTATGTACACAAAGGACAATCAATTGTTTGGAAGGACTAGCGATCAACGCTTCGAAGCGGTGGTGTAAAGGGCCTGCGACCGTAGGGTTCTAGCAGCGTGAACCCGGATGTGCGTTGTGTGTGTTTGTGAGACGCGGTCTGTCTACACGTGACGCGCCCAACGTCAGCATGTGTTAGTCAACGCTCAACAGGACAAGTTGGCCGCCGCCACCAGAACACTGACACAAGGCAGTACCTGTACTGTACGGCATCGCAGGGAAACACCAAATGCGCGCGAGACAGGTGTTTGGCTGTGAGGTTATCCGCAAATCCGCCGAGCTGTACATGCACTGGGCGAGGCCCTGGCTGGTCGGGCGCCTCGTCAACCGACGGCTCGTCATGGTTTTTCAAAAGTTGTGTGCGTGTGGTCGTCGTGTCGACGCACGACGGCCGATCGCGGAACCAGAAGTCCTGCTGTCCTCTGCACGTGATTGATTACCTTGAGAAGATATGATGCACGAAGTATGATGAGCGAAACAGTCATGCTGCTGCCCGAAACGCCACGTAGCTGGATGCGTGCGCACCGGACGCTTTCGGTGTAGCATGATGCTCAGTGCGCATCACCCGGGCTCGCTTCGTGATGCTCTAAGCCATTGTTGCCCTTGGCAATTGACTGGTACCACCAGTCGTTGGTACGGTATCCTTGTCAATATCCACTGTTTTCAACAGCAACGAAACAGTGTTTCGGATACCAGGCCTTGGCGACGCCACGTCATGAGTCGGTATCTGCTCCATCCTGTGCATACCGTCTTAGTCCAGCGACCGTCGAGATCTTATTGCAGTCTAACTCCCTCACCTTGAGCGCGCATACGAGCGTCTTCGCGATGGGTGTCCTCCAGCAGCGTCACAACGTCGCCTCCGCCACATACTAGTAGTTTTATGCCAAGTCAGAAGGTCCAGAATGCTGTGGCTGCCGTAGTCGGATCAAGTGCGAGGGCCTCCGCTGGTGCAGCCTTACTCTATCATGACACTGTGGCTTGGCGACGACGCACTCCAGTTGCCTTCACAAGGCTGGAGTGGTGGCCAGTGATTTGTCAATCTTGTTGACGGGACGATGGGGCTCCGCTGCGAAAAGCATGGACTAAAGCCATTTACCGTGTTTAAACAGGTCGATGGCCAGCGTTTAGGGTTTGGATCGACGGTCACGCTCGGCCGCCTTGCAGCATACTGCTCGCAAGGAGGATACCAAAAGTCCATAAATATTATATGGACCCTTGGAGGATACTGCATGCATGCTAGCCGAATGCGTTCAGGAATCGGTGTTGCCGGACCTTCGAGGCCGCGACGCAGCGATTAGCCGCACACATTCTCTGATCTGGCGACAACAGCAGACTCCGCACCATGGAGACCGAAATAACGCAAGCGCTAATCGCTATAACGTCTTCGACATGCACGCTCACGATTGCCAACCTCGCCGTGGCAGCCATGAGAACACGCGTGTGGTGCAAAGAATAAAACGCATTTCACGTCAAACGCGTTTAAGTATACGTACACTATTTCAGTCGGATGACTCGAGTTCGAATGTTTCGCAAACAGCTGCATACCGGTTAGGATTAGATCACAAGCTGCCATGGCGTCAAACAAGGCCTTCGTCGAGGCCTCGGTACGTCAGGATAGCCCCGGCTGCGCATGGAGGGCCTCACGCCCATGGCCTAGGCCGGCTCCGTCGGCGCGCTCTTCGCCTGCCTCGCGCTCTTCCCGTTGGACGTAGCCAAGACCAAGCACCAGGCGTCGATCCAGTCGACCGAGGTTCGTCGCCGTCGGTACTAGCCGACTCAATGCATTCGCGCTATAGGAGACGAGCGATGGAAAGACGAAGGTGCGCAAGGTCGATACGCTGACCATCTGCAAGACGATCTGGGACACGGAAGGCGTCGCAGGCCTCTTTGCCGGCCTCGGGCCCAAGGCCATCCACACGGTCCGATGATTTGGACGTCCACCACGCCAGGCTTCCTCATTGCTTCTTCTTCGTCTTCTTAGGTGCTCTCCAACTTTTGCTACTTTTACTGGTACGCGTGGCTCAAGACATTCTACGAGAAGAAGGTCGGGGCGCTCTCGACGGCCGCCAACTTGGCGATCGGCGCGCTCGCCGGCGCGATCAACATGAGCATGACGCTGCCGTGGGAGGTCATCTCGACGTACATCCAGACGTCCGGCAACCCGAACGAAAGCCAATGGGACGTGCTCCAGGCCTTGTACAAGCAAGACGGCGTCTTGGCCCTCTGGAAGGGCTACATCCCGTCGCTCGTGCTCGTGTCCAACCCCGCGATCAACTATACGATTTTCGACCGGCTCAAGCTCCAGCTGGTCTCGGCGACAACGTCGCTGACGGCACTCCAGGCGTTTATGCTGGCGGCCATCGCCAAGTCGATTGCGACCGTGGTGACGTACCCGATCATTCGCGCAAAGGTCATCATGCAGGCCAAGTCGGACGAGAACGACGACAAGAAGAGCAGCATGACGGACATTCTGCAGCGCATTTGGGCCACCGACGGTCTTCACGGGTTCTTCAAGGGCTGCGAGGCGCAGCTCTTCAACACGGTGCTCAAGAGCGCGCTCCTGCTCATGACCAAGGAGCAGATTACGTTCCTCACTCTCAAGCTGCTCGGTGGCGCGACCAAGGCGACGGCGACGCGCTAAGCAAGGCTCGAGACCGCGTAGAGGACTCGTCGTGTTGTTGCTAAAGAAACCATCCTCGAGCCTTTGACCAGTTGTACGCACCACACATACTACCATCTTTCGGTCGGAGCGAGCAAGTACTGCTAGCGACGCAGATTAACATACGTGGCCATGTGTCGATGGAGCATCCTTGCGTGAAATGAAGAGGCGGTAACCCGGACACCGCATCGCCATGTGAGCTATATGTCGTTCACAAACAAGGGTCAATACACTGTTGATTGACCCTTGAAACTCGTGCACTGGGTGCTCGCTGAGGTAAAAATCAGTTGGAGTTGATCGCCATGTATTGGCTCGCGTTGAATGTTGAATGTTGTAATATCGAGATGGATTATGTTTGAATAAAGCAACAATTGTTGGCGATTTTCAAAACAAATACTTGCAGGCCTTTGATAGCCACGATCGTCGGCATACAGCCTCTCTCGAGCTAGAGAAAGCGTCCCTGAGACTATCACAGCGATTTGAGAAGGTTGCAAAAGGTTCGATTTCGGATCGACGAGCCGCACGCCTGCCGTTGGGTACCTGGCCAAAATGCAGCCAATGTTGAAAAATATTCTGAACGCCGAGAGCCGCCGTCAACGAAGCGAGTTGTTTGCCAGTTGTCTGGAGCGTAGACCTGGAGCCTTTGACCACGCGGTGCGCGAGGCGTACCGACAGTTTTGAGTTCCCGCCACAAACTTGTGTGTCCCTTCCGGATACCTTTCGACAGAATTTGTGTCGAACGTCGACGAAGGCGGTGGAGGCCACGTCGTATTGGTTGTGGTGACACACAGCTTGGCCGTAGCATGGTGATATTGTTGCTAGAGGCTGCAGTGTCTAGCGGTCTCTTTGCGGTCATCGATGACCAAGGATTGCTTGTCATGCTCCAGGTATCCAAGTTTGAACGGTTGTTGGCGCGGTTGGTTGTAGACGCCACGCTTTGTGTGTGCAGCGAAGCACAAGAGACGAAGAAGAGCCGTCGATCAAATCCGTTCGGTTTCTCTAATCTACGAGCACCCCATTTGTGAACACCGGTTGGCACTTGAGGCCGCGACGGCTGGCTGCGGGTGGCCACAAGGTGTCGCCTACTGCCGTCATAGTACAGCGTCGTCGACGACCGACTCTTCGAGTACGCATGGTGATGAGAGTCGTGGTGCAAAGGCTCGTTCGAGGTACAAGAGAATCGACACGAGAGAGTCAACCAGTGTTAATAATGGCAATCAATCAGTCCTTACAGTAGATTGCGTGGGTTGCTACGTCGCGATCGTGACGGTCTCGCCGTTGTAAAATTCAATATAGAGTTGACCGTCGGTGACATACGTGTGGTCAACGAGCTGCGACGCATGCGACTTGATCGCGTGGATCGTCTCTCGCTTGTCGTCGTCGTGGAGGTAGTCGCAGCCAATGCCGTAGGGGCATTTCGGCGACTTGTCGCAGACCGACGTCTTCCACATGCCGCCGCGCGCAATCGCACGCGCAATGCCAATGATCTTGAGCTCTTCCTTCGTATGGCCATAGCTACAGCTCGCCGACGTGCACCAATTCTCTCGCTTGCACTTGGCGTAGTGGCGCGGCTTCATGCCCAAGCAGCTGCGCGTACGGAGCTCCTTCAGCACGTCTGTCGCGAGCTTCGAGAGCAACGGCGACGACATACGAAAGGGCGATGGTGCATTGAAGGTCGGTGGATACGCGGCTTGTCCGTCACGGGCGGCCGACAGCCGCGACGCTTCGTCAAACGGAGACTCGATCGACGAGACGATGCGCGAGGTCGACGGTGACGAGACGATGCGCGATGTCGACGGCGACGAGCGACCAACCGTCGACGTCGGGCCACCCGAGAAAGACGTCTGCCCACTTGGCAGCGGCAACGGGCCCGTCGATAGTGAAGACAACATCTGTTCCAACGTCGACGTGGACGGCGGGGGCGCGCGTGGCAGGCCGCTGCTGGCCGTGGGCGGCGCGGTAATGTTGTGCGTCGAGGGGTCGATCGTATACTGCGGCGTCGGTGGCTCCGTGGGCACGTTGGGCGTCGACGGGCGCTCAGTCGGGTCGGCCACGCTCGACTGCTCCGAGGCCGACGCGCGGCTTGCGCGGGCATCTTCTTGCGTGGCGTTCCAGGCCACGAGCGCACCGTGAAGCCATTCGAGGCAGCACACAATCATCTCCATTTGCACGTACGCAATCACCGACCAATGGTCCTTGACGCAGTTGGCAATGGTCGCGTGGTTGTGGTTCAGATTGCCGCCAAGGCGAGACGTGGCGTCCATGCTCTTGAAGACCTGGAAGCCCGTGATGCCCCAGCGGATGGTGCGCAAGTACGCCTTTGCCGTCTCGTCTCGCACCGCCTGGAAGTGACGGCTGAGGCTGTCGAGCACGTTGAGCGCCACGTCAAAGGTCGGGACGTTGCCGCCCACGGCGTCGTTGACAACGAGATGCACAGCCGTCTCCATCTTGCTGCGGAAGAGGTCAAAGCCAGTGCTCGACTCGTCCGAGAGCAGGTCCCGGAACTCGCGGAGGGCGGTGCGGAACTTGGCCTTGGGCGCGCGCGTGCTAAAGAAGTCGCCGTCGCTGCAGTGCGAGAGAAAATCGATGCGCACGGGAGGGCTCATGCTGCGTCAATCTTGGTCTGGCACGACTGCAAAATGGCCAGCCACCAACAACCGCCAAGCAATATTAAATTCGACAGGTGCGCAGGTCTCTATAATCGGATTATCAAACAGAAGTTGAATCCTGGATGCAGCGTTTTTGCGTCCGACGCTGGCTTCTGGGAGAGACGACTCTGCTTTTTCTCGGTGCTGGTAGAAAGCTTCGCACACAGCACGGCGGTACCATTACCGTTTGGACACCATTAAAGGTTTGCGATGCACGACATGCCAACGCGCAGTGATCCAGGTTTGGTGCTTTGGTTGATGTTCGTGTTGACTGAGAACCTGCGTCGCTACAGTGGATGGACACAAAAGCCGTGTTGGTCAGAGCTGTCGTGCTCGCCGCGCCCTCGTAGATTTGACGTATCGTTCAACAGGATCTTTTGCCAAGCGCCAACCTCAACGTGTGAACGCGAGCTTGTCGCCAGGGCATCTGTTGGTGTCTATGACACCATCTGGGTAAAATACAGGAAAACGCGCACATCTGTCGCAAATTCTGTTTCGGAACAGCAACTCCACGTGTCGCCTTGCCGCGGCGTGTACACGTGGCACGCTGACGTGGCGGCATCCCTGCTAGTTCCTACCGGACAACCTAGAGACTGAAGTGGTTTGTTACTTGATGCGTGGGAATGTCCTAAGCATAATTTGCGGGGCACGTCAAAGGCGACCGCTTGAGCTCGCGCAGGTGGCGCCGGTTGATGTACTTGAGAGTTTGAGACTTGACAACGACAGAGCTCAACCACACGCAGTAGCAAAGGCAGACGACACTGACACCGAGACCGTAGATCGCTTCGCCGTAGAGCCACGCCGGCGTCTTCGCGCCGAGGTGCTGCGTCGTGCCGAGGTACGACTGCCGGTCAAAGGCCAGCCATGTGCCAAGAATCATGAGGATTCCGATAAGGATCATGACATTGAGAGCGCCGAGCATCTTGCCGACGATGTTTTCTTCCTTGAAGTAGACAAGGCTCGCAACGTAGAGCACGGCCGCGAGAAGCGCGGTGGGTGCGAGGACGTACACCATTGTGTAGTGGCACGCGCTCATCACGACAGAGCAAACAGCGTGCTTCATGGTCGCTCCAATGTCAAACCGACGGCTCACAGAGCACCCGCACCACGTCGAGGCGACAAACTCCAGCAGGCGTGGGTCCAACGTCGTATGCAGCGCGTCGGCGCCGTACGCAAGACAAACTTTGGACGCTTCGCCGTGCTGTAGCGTCGTGAGGCAGTATTCCTTTGGTGAGAAAGCAATCGAGACCGACGTAGGGGGCTCGCTGTCGAATGTGTTGTGCACCGAGAAGCTGACGAGCGACCAACCGAGGCCGGGGGCAACGACCGTGTACGCAATCCACGCCGCTGTGAACGCATGCGCCAGCACTCCTACGCAGAACAACTCAGATCTTGGGGGTAGATGCAATGCAGCTAAATACCGACGCACACAACACCTGCGTGCATGGTCTTGATTCTGACAGAATGTGGCACTTTCGAATCGAAGACGCGTTTCCAAGAAGAAGGCCTTTCCCGCCACGGCAACGTTAAATAGTGTACTAAACTCTTGCATCCGCTTTCTTGTCGCCTTACTTCAAAAGGACGCCAGATAGTACTACATGCTGTCTTCTATGCGCATTGACAGGGGGTCTTTTGCTCTTCGATCGGCTGGACGACGGCCTGGACGGCCCGCTATGCTCATATCAATTTATGCCTCACATGAAATAGAGTGATCTTTTTGGAAAGAAAACAGCCAATCCGCATTACGCATCTCCATATCTGGCCGGCCATTGGCCTACACCAAATGAACGACGGTGATTGGTCGACGCGAGAATGACCGCAATGATGGCAGACGACGACGGCCTTCCAGCAGCCGACGTCGCCCGCGTCGAGGACGCAGTAAAGGCTGCGATCGCCCAGACGCTCGGCTGGTCCTACGTCGACACGTACATGACGAGCCGCAATCGGCTTCGGCCAGGTACGCTCGTTTCCGGTCTCTCTACGATCCAGACGCTTTGTATGATCCTCAGGCCGGCAACGCACCTCGTTTGGTGACTTGGAGCTCCCATTTGCCATCGATGTGTTCAAACGTCACATCCGCTACCTGTGCGTCCAGAAGCTTCCGAGATCCGCTTTGCATGTCACGACCGTGTCGGACTTTGGGCTCACGCGCCATTTTGCGTACGCCACTTCCAAGGCCATCGCCGACGCCCTGCTGCAGGTGTTACTCCAAGACTCGTCGCTTGCCGGGCTTCTCAGCAACCTCGTGTGCGACGCGAAAGGCGTGCTGACATTCACGACGCACCGGCACTTTGCATGGCATACGACGCACGGCCGCCTCGTCTGCTCTGCGTGCGGCTACTTTCTCAATGGCCAGCGCGGCCTGCGCATCCACCAAGTCATGCAACACGGCATCGCGTACGATCGCGCGCAGTCCGAGGCACTTTCGAGCGACACGCAGCTCGTGTTGTATGTACCACCAACGACCAACGACTGCGTGCTCCGTGCGGAAGCATCCCCTCTCGCGTTAGACCCCGGTCTTGAGGCGGCCAAGAACGGGGACCTAGCCTTGCTGCAATCCCTCGTCGCGACGGGGTGGGACCCAAGAAAGGCAACCGATCGCCATGGGTCCAACGCACTCGCGTGGGCCGCGGGGGCCAACCATCTCGACGTGTGCCGGTACCTCGTCGAGACGTGCCATTTGAGTGCGTCGGTGCTGCAAGGCAAGCGCGGCATGCAGCGCAACGCACTGCACTGGGCCGCGCGCAACGGGCATATAGCCATCACCGCCTGGCTGCTGGGACGCAGCAGGTTCATGTGGACGAACCGACCGAGGATGGCACGACCGCCTTCCACTTTGCCGTTTGGAACAACCAAGTGCCCATGTGCCGGTGGCTGGTGTACCCCTCTGGATTCAGGAAATGGTACTGGATGTGATGAAACACTGTTTTAGGGCCACCGGAAAGTGCAACGTGCATGCGCTCAATGCCTACGGCTGCAATGCTTCGCAATGGAGCGCCTTGACGGGCAGCGTCGAGATGCTTGCGCTCCTCCAAGAATTCGGTGTCGACCTCGGCGTCATTAACCTCAACGGCCACTCGGCCTTACACAAGGCGGCGCTGCGAGGACATGCTGAAGCTTGCGCATGGCTGTTGTCGCACGGAGGTCTCGGTCGGCGCCACATGCGGCCCGACAGTGACGGCTTCACACCCATGACGTTTGCGTCCTCGAACGGGTTCCCAACCCTCGGGACTTATCTCGCCGACTGGTTCGAAAAGGCGTTGTAATGGGTTAAAGCCTCGCGTGCTGTTCATGAACCACCGGTGCAATGACGTCCATCTCCGCCCGTCTCGCCGCCTCAGACGATTTGCGGAGATCCACGAACGCAGCCCAGTAGGAGGGTAGCGTGTGTGCTGTTCCCGCCTTTTTATCTCACGTCGACGCTACGCCCCAAGATGGCCTGCGTTGCGACTGGAAATCTGGAGCAACGGAGTAAGATGATTTTTGGTGTCTGCACCAAACAGGCTGCGTTCTTACCTTTGCGGGGACGGGTACCACCCAGCAGCGTCCGTCCAGCGAAAAGGCAAGTTGGCACTCACTGAAGACTGCGTGACCAACTCGTGTCGCACGCGAACCGTCGAAGCATCTTTCGACGTCCGGATACGCTCCATGAGCGACATTGAAGACTATTCACACCCAACTTGAAGCACGTGGTCCTCACGGTTGACAAAAAACCCGAGGACCAGCAAGCAGAAAGAAGCGCTGCAGACCGAAAACACGCGCTCCAAGACCCGACGGACTCATGCACGAGTAGAGCTTTAAGCAATATGAGATACAAAAGAGTGCATATGAAGGGGATGCAGACGAGATGGACGGTGGCCCCGATGGTCGAAGCGCCACAAGGACCGATGAATTGCTACCGAGGCGGCGTGCCCTGTCGCACGGTCGAAGAATGCCTCGATCAATGCGTTACAATAACCAAATTGCATTTGGTTCTTCGAGCCAAGAGTCCATCATTGCCTGACATGTGACCGATCGGTTGCGTGTTTGTAGCCAATCTTTCCTGTCCTCCGATCACGAAATCGTAATTTAATGGATACACGCTATTCGCATAGTAAAACCAGGTATATTGGGAGACAATGCAATTAAAGACAAGTGATCATCCGGATACCGATGGAAAAATGTCCATAAACGGCGGTTCAATGTTCGGCAGTTGAAACGGCGAACGGACGTTAGTTGGCGCCACGACCGACGGCCGGCCGGGATGACCGAGACAGCGCCCGACGCTGGCGTCGCGCTGTACCGCATCGAGAGCATTCTTGCAGGCGACAGCAGCTCGCTCGGCCTTCTCGTCGCACCGCCGCTATCGGACGACACACCGATACTGGCGGCCGCCGGCGTGCAACTGGTGCTCTTGCACGCTGCGCTGGCGATCCCGCCACCAGAGTACGCGCTGTACCAAGCGTTTACGGTGTATGCGTGCAGCCAAGTGCTGCTGGACGCACCACCACTCGGGCCGCGCCGCGCTCGCGTCACTGTGGTGCCATTGACACCTACCGGCGCGATTGATGACGCCCTCGTGCGACGCTGCTGCGAGCCGCAGACAAGGGAAGAAAAGCTCGTATGCGGCGCAGCGTTCTGTGAACTGCCCGCCGTGATCGTGTACCAAGACGTCCCGTACATCGCCGACGCCGTCTCGCCCGAGCTGACGCCGGGTTCATTGCTTCCGACGACCGGCAAGACGTATGCTGAGACGGCGCGTATGAAAGCACCAGGAACGAGCGTGGACATGGCGCAACACCTCTATCGCGCGCGCCAAGCCCGCGCCAAGCCAGGTATGCTCGCCAAGGCAACGCCGCCCAAGAAGCGCACGTACATCCATTTGATCCCGCAGCTGTGCACGGTGCACCCGCTGCCGTGCGCGCTCTGGCACGACCTCAAGCGACTTCCTACCATCTTGTACCTCTGGGAAAAAGATCTCGCCGAAGCAACGTTGCGACGGCGGTGGCAGTGGCCGCACCCTCTCACCGAAGCCCTCACGGCCGCCAGCGCCAAACTGAGCTACAGCAACGAGCGATTGGCGTTCCTCGGCGACGGCGTTCTAAAGCTCGTGCTCACCATCGACGCGATCCAGAGCGGACAGTGGCAGCTCACGGACGCCATGCGAGACCAGCGGCTGCGCAGGCTACAGAATGCGACGCTGTGTGCCGTGGCCGAGTCGGCAAACCTTCTTCCGTACGTGGATCTCGTCGGCTTTCACGGCTCGTGGTTCCAGCCGCTTCTGAGCGACACCACTTTGCCGCCCCCCGAAGATGCGCTAACGCCGAGCACACGCATCAAGACGTACGCGACCGTCGTCGAAGCTCTTTTGGGCGCGGCATATGACGCTGCGGGTGTGGCAGGGGCGATGACCATGGCGCATCATTTAGAGCTTGTCTCGACTCGCAACGTGGACCTGCCCCGCAAGGCATGGGCGCTACCAGCGCCCACCTCGTGCAACTGGCAACTCGGTTCCTTTGGTCCTCCCATCGACCAACCCGCGGTCGCGACGTCGGTTGCCGCCTGTGTAAGCACGAGCCTCAGCGGCGGGACCGAGGCGGCCACCGATGGCCCCAAGCTTCTCGGCGAAGCGCTCCAGTACGCAGCGACTGCGATCGACCTCTATGCGACGGGGACGGATCCTGGCGAGATGACGCGGCGCCGTCATTTTGTCACACGGGCGTCGCTTGGGGCCCGCCTCGTCGACACCCACGTCGTACCGACGCCAGCTCCGAGTGCAACTGCGCTCGGCGCTGCGTACGAGAGCGTCCTTGGCGCGGTCGCCGCCAACGCGGGCGTCGAAGCAGCGCTGGCATTTGCCACGGCGTGGAGCCGGCCGCTCTTGGTATCGGCGCTCGTCGACCTTGTGCCAGTGTTGAGAGCGCGCGACGAGTGAGCGATGAAAAGTATACTATGTACAATAAGACAATAATACAGACGGCATGGTGTATTCAAAGTCAAGTGGTGGCATCGGTCCTGCCATGCAGGAATGCCCTTGCTCGCACCAAGTTCTTATCGGATTTAGCACGCGCTTCGTGGCGGTCGGTTTCACAACCGTTGACCAACGATGCTACACGGAGGCGTCAAGCCCAAGCCGAGTCCGCTCGACCCCGAGTACTGGCGTGGCATTACGCACTCGGTGGAGGCGCATCCGCAGGCCACACTCGTGCACTCGCCGCTGCCGGTGCAAGGGTACCGGCCACCGGTCGCGTCGCCCATGCACCCGGTGATGATTAGTCCAATCCCGTCGCAGGCGCGACAGGCGAGCCACGGCTTTGACATGCACCAAATGGACTACGCATACGCCGACGCTTCGTCGTTGCGAACGCAGCTCCGGCACGCGTTCATGGCGCTCTCGTCGGACGTCCGCCAGGTGCTGCAGGCGTACGACGTGCACCGCAGCGGCGGTCTACCGACCGACATGTTTCAGGACGCACTCGCCCAAGTAGGCATCTACCTCTCGCCGCTGCTGCTCGCAGAGATCCACCGGCGCTTTTACGCGCCGCCCGTCGACGCGATCGACTACCACGCCCTCGCCACGTACTTGGCGCTGGACCGTTCCGAAGTGTACGCGATTTGAAAGTGCAAAGTGGCAACTGCAATGCGTGCTGTGTAGCGATCGAATATTGCAAGACATTGGCCGGCGAATCGCTGCGCAAGGCTCGATCGACAGCATGCGCCACATGCTCCAGCAGTACGACCACCACAGCACAGGCTGCGTCCCTCGGCACATTTTTTTGGATTTTTGCCACCGGTATGGATCGGCGCCCGATGTCGAGCTGCACTGGCTCGCGCAGTTCTTTGCCCACCCGTACGACACGCAGCTCGTCTCGTATGCGCGGATGCTTGAACTCTTTCCCGGGAACCACAAGCCATCGCAGCAGCAATACGCCCCGCCTCGCCCGATGAGTGCGCCAGTGCCCGTCTCGCCCATGACGTCCCATCTGTCGCATCACGCATACCCCGTGCACCCGACGCCGCAGGGCTACCCGCCGCCGTCGCACCACACGGGGTTCACAACCATGGTCAACCACGCAGTGCCCGCCGCCAAGGTGCGACCAACCCAGTGGGACCGACGCCACTGACATCGTCCCTCATAGATGGTGCTGCAGAAGAACGGGTGGATCTGCCGCGTCTGCGCCCACCAGCAAGTCGAAGACTGGGTCACGCACTGCGAGATCTGCGACACGTCCAAGCCGCACGGCGGCGCGCGCGGTATCTTTGTCAAGTGCCCCCACTGCAAGTTTGACAACAACTTTGATGCGGTCACGTGCGAGCTGTGCCACCACGGTCTGCAGGCCAAGCCCAAGAAAGCTCGCAAGAAAAAGTACTACTCGAGCAGCTCGTCCTCGTCGTCGTCGTCGTCGTCGTCGTCGTCGTCGTCGTCGTCGTCGTCGGGCGGTGATTCGCGACGGCGGCGGCGGCGCAAGGGCAAGCAGCACCGCCGCCAGCGCCATGAAGACGACTCGGTCCGCTTTACAAAAGGCGAAGTCATCCAGGCCATGCCACTCCACAAGCACGAGTACGTTCTCGGCACGATCGTCAAGGTGCACAAAGAGGATCGCACGTATGATGTCAAGTTTGACACGGGGAAGCTCGAGCGCTACGTGCCCGAGGACTCGATTCGCGAAGTCACTCGCGCCAAGATGGCGTCGAGCCCACGCAAAAAGTCGCACCACCCGTCGGCCGACGAAGGCAAGACATCGTCGCCGCGCAAGCCCAAGCGCATGGAAATGACGTCCGAGTCCGAAGATGTTCGACCGCACTCTCCCAAGAAGTCTCGCCCCGTCGTGGTCTCCGACTCGGACGACCACCCGAAGAAGCCTGCGAAGCGCCCTGAGCCCATCTTCACGTCCGAGTCGGATGCTGGGCCGGCGTACAAGCCGGGGCAGCGCGTGCGGGCCAACTACAAGGAGCAAGGCGACTGGGTCGGCGCCGTGATCGCCAAGGTGCACTCGGATGGATCCTGTGACGTTGAGTATGAGACGGGCAAGATGGAAAACCGGGTCAAGCCCAGCGCGATTCGGCCGCCCAGTCCCAAGAAGAAGCCGCAAGTCGTCACCGACTCGTCCGAGAGCGACGTCAAGGTCGTTTACGAGAAAGGCCAGCGCGTCGAAGCCAAGTACAGTGGCAAGACCTGGAAGGGCGGAGTCGTGACGCGGCGTCGGGTCAACGGGACGTACGATATTGACTACGACGAAGGGGAGAAGGAGACGGGCGTCAAGAGCGACTGGATGCGCGCGGCATCGAGCTCACCAAAGAAGAAGAAGCCGACGGAAGAGTTGACGACAACGACCGAGGATGACAAGCCCAAGCGCGGCAAGTTTAAGCAAGGCGACAAGATTGAAGCGCGGTTCAAGGGCAAGGACAAGTTCTACCCTGGTGTCATTGCCCGCGCACGGCTCAATGGTACCTACGACATCGACTATGACGACGGCGAGAAGGAGACGATGGTGAAAGCCGACCTTGTCCGCCTCAAAGAAGGCTCGAGCTCACCAAAAAGAAGAAGACCGGTGGAGGACCCGTCGACGACTGAAGATGACAAGCCCAAGCGCGGCAAGTTCAAGCAAGGTGACAAGATTGAGGCACAGTACAAGGGCAAGGACAAGGTTCTACCCTGGTGTCATCTCCCGGGCGCGTGTGAACGGGACGTACGACATCGACTACGACGACGGCGAGAAGGAGACGATGGTGAAAGCTGACCTTGTCCGCCTCAAAGAAGGCTCGAGCTCGCCAAAGAAGAAAAAGGCGGAAGACTCCCACAGAAGACGATAACCAAAAAGTTCAAAGAAGGCGACAAGATTGAGGCGCAGTACAAGGGCAAGTCCAAGTACTACCCCGGTGTCATTTCCCGGGCTCGCCTCAACGGGACGTACGACATTGATTACGACGACGGCGAGAAGGAGACGGGTGTCGCTGCCGAGCTCATTCGTCTCAAGGGCGGGACATCACCGAAGAAGAAATCGAACGACACCACCGACGACGACAAGCCAAGGAAGTACAAGGAAGGCGACAAGGTCGAGGCGCAGTACAAGGGCAAGTCCAAGTACTACCCTGGCGTCATTGCTCGTGCGAGGCTGAACGGCACCTACGACATCGACTACGACGACGGCGAGAAGGAGACTGGTGTTGCTGCTGACTTGATCAAGCCGAAAGGGGGCTCATCGCCAAAGAAGAAGCCGTCGAACGACTCGGACGATGACCGCAAGCCAAAAAAGTTCAAAGAAGGCGACAAGATTGAGGCCCAGTACAAGGGCAAGTCCAAGTACTACCCCGGTGTCATTTCCCGGGCTCGCCTCAACGGGACGTACGACATTGATTACGACGACGGCGAGAAGGAAACGGGTGTCGCCGCTGACCTTTATCCGTTGCCAAGGGCGGG